AGATTGTTAGCGCGAAGGGTCCAAACATTAACGTATCTAATTTCAGTTTTCGTAACCCAATGACTTCAACTATGTGTATGCCAAAAAACTTCGAAAGGTCGAGGTATGCCGAATCCGTTTGTGACCAAAGGAGTATGTACTACAGACGTGAAACTTCGCCAATGTCAATACGCAGTGCTTGTGATGTAAGGTCGCGGAATTACCAGCAATATTATCCTACAGCAAGCTCCCAAAAGTCTATGTTTAGTGGAAGAGGTGGTTCTCCAATGTCTATGAGAAGTATTGGTAAGTTGATTTTGAATAATTTCTACTATTCAACTTGGTTTACTTTTTGAGAAAACTATTAAATGAATGTGACTGCAATATTTACAAGTACTAACATATATAAGATATTATTTCAGATTCATCTGCAAGTGTGAGTGCAGCAGATATAGCTTTTGCATTCAAGAATGTGAAGTTTAATCGATATGATCTCAAAGTTATAAAGGATGCTTACCACAAACTAATGAAGCAAAGGGTTAGAAAAAGAATTGAGAAGAGAAGGAACATGAGGTTGTATCTTAAAGGCAGTAGGAGAAGATCAGGTTATGACTCTGGAGAGCTAGGAAGCAACTCCTCAATCAGCAGTGATGACTGTAGGTCTGTTAAGACCTCTTATAAAGAAAATATGTCCAGCAATGCATCAACAAGGATGAATTTAACTGATTTCAGAAGGACTGTCAATGACAACACATTCAAAGATTGTTCTGAAAGTCTAAAACAGAGTGTGTTTAAAAATAAGTTTCCCATTGGAATCAATAGTGCAAATACTACTAGAAATTTCAATAGCTCAGTGATGCCTTCAAACAATTTACAAAGCAATCCTTTTACTTCTCAAAAAGACAGATTCAAAAATGGTTTTTTATTGCCATCTCAGAGATTTAACAAGTCAGTAGCTTCATCAGTAATAATGGAGAACTCTGAAAAGTGTTACAAAACTACAGCAAATAACCCAAGGACCCATAATGCTCAAAACAGAAACAATTGTGTAAGTGGTAGTGATGAAGAAGAAATATTTTCAGAAGTGACTGTTAGAGAGAAGAGTCCATGTAATATAGAACCTCAGCGTAAAAGGAGCCTGGATAGTGAGGATGAATGTCTTCCCCAAAAAAAGAAAAGCAGAGTGTTATCACCAGTTAAGAATGATCCAATTAATAGAAGAACTCCAACTAAACTAAAGAATCAACCAAAAAATGTTGCATTATCAAATAGCTTTGAATTTGCCAAACCTTCTTTGCCAGTCAGGAAATCAAAGCCGAAAGTACAGGAAAAGCTCATAGCTAAATCGGCACAACCTTTGACAGACTTCTTGGAACCAATCCTTGATAAAATACAAAAGCCTGTTCAAACAGTACTAGACACACAGCCCGAAGTCTCTCAAGAGAAATCCACTGAAAATTTATCTCAACTTGATCAATCCGAAGCAACACAAAGTGACATGTCTTCACGGCCAAGCTTTATTAAAAGAAAACTATTCACACAGACACTGGATGTTGCAGAGAAAGCTAATGTGAGCAGTGACAGTACAAACAGCCCACAAAGTGGAGTTTATCTTCTACAGAAGGAGAAAAACAAAACTAGAAAGGTGGTGCCTAACCAGTCATGTCTAAATAGAGAAGTTCAAGATGACAGCAATCTGTTAGATTTAATTCACAAGATAGTACCTCGTGACCGTATGAACTTGGTGACTCCAGGTGATAAAATTCTTGATAAAACTGTAGATAAAACGCTCATGCCTAAAGATTGTAGAATTTTGGTGGAAAAGATGCAACCTAATGATATAGTGCAGCAGCAAGTTGCGAATAAAGAGGTCAACCTAACATGTAACAGTGAGTATAAATAAATTCTTGTGTGATATAAACAAGTACTTAACATACTTAATAACTGGATAACCATACTTTTACTTAATTACAGGTGTCACAGTGAGCAGTGTTAAGAATTCGGCTAAGACATTTTGGGATACTGACTTTGAAAGTGATGCAGAATGCCAGACTATATTACCAAGAATCAATACACTTGATAGCTCCAAGAGAGGTATATGTATACAAATGCTTTGTATATTTTACTTTGTTATTCCATGATGTTTGATTCCTAAAACCACAATATTTTCTTGTTTCAGCAAATACAACATTGGGAGTAACAACTACTTTCAAAAAGCCAACTGGTTACGCAAACATGCAAATGTTAAAAAAATCACAACAAAATCTTGACAGGACGAAACAATTGAATAATGTTACCATGAATAGCACTACGATGAATACTACTGTGGATAGCAGCATGCGTAAATTTAATGCCAGTACCCTGACCATCCGATCACATCGTATGACTAAAAAACCTAACTGCTGCAATCAAACCTGTGTTAGTGAAAACAATGTAAAAGTAAACAATCATAACAAAATTACTGTAGAAAATAAAAAAGATAAGTCTAAAAAGCAAGAAGATGAACCTGTACAAAAGATTAAGACAAAAGATAATAAACTAACTAATAATCTAACTGTTGTCCCTAAAGCAAAACTAACTAAAAATGATAAACCCAATAAAGCCAAATCTACGACAAAAATAAACACAACTGCTAATGAAAAATCTTCAAACAATAACAAGCAAGCTGTTAGTCCAAATAAAAATAAGCAAGTTAGCAGTCCAAACAAAAATTCCAAAAAGTCTGATATAAAATCAAAAACAGCCAAATCAAACATAAACAATAAAAAAAAATCTGAACAACCGAATAATAAAATTGCAAATGGAAAACAAACAGACACTCCGCAAGTGAAGAGTAATTCTAAATCAAAACCACAAAATGATAAGCAGAAAAATAAAAAAGACAGCCCTAAAGCTAAATCCAAATCAAAAGATGGATGCCCTACAACCAATGGAGTTCCACCAAAATCCAATAATAACAATACTGTTATACAAAATACATCTTTGACTGGACGACCATGGAGGTCATGTCGTACACCAAGCCAAAGCAGGTCTATAGAACTTTCTAGATCCACTCAACTCGACACCTCCATCGAAAATAACAAAAGTCTTCGTTCGAGAGTAATTAATTTGTCCTCTTCTATCGAAAACATCACTATGAACATCAAGCCTAGGAAGAAAACAGTGAACAATAATAAAAATATTTCACAAATAAATACAAGAAAGAGTGATGTATCATTCTCGTTGGGAACCGGTACACCAACACCAAAAAAAAGTTTCGCGCGAACTAAAACCAATTTTAACAGAAGCAAAAGAAGAACTTAAAATTTACTTGATTTATTTGTAATTGTAATTTGTTAAATTATGTATAATTTCATTTAATTAAAGTTCATGATTTTAAGCCTTTTACTGGCATAGAAGGTAGAATAATAATTATTGAAGAGAAAAATGTATATTTTAATTATGAGTTTGAATTGAAATTATGTAAAATCTTTAAACTATGAGTTGTCAGCACCACAAGTGTTATTGTATGTCGCGGAGAACGGGTAACCGGGACTCCGGCTCGACGTGCAGGAGAAGGAATGGGATGGTTTTTAGTCAGTAAGAATCTGTCAGTCCCTCCCGCCTCACCCAGGACTCAGGAGGGAGCAGTCATTTGACTTCCCCCCTTAAAAAAAAAGTGTTATTGTCTAAAGCTAAAGAGTTTGTGACTTGAGACTACTGGTTTCATTAGACAAAATATTTTTGTGTTGTTTTTCAAATTGGACCAGTAGTTCCTGAGAGTTTATGTAATAGGATCAGATAATACTTGATTTTGTAATAAATACAAACTTGGAATTTTTGTTTTGCGAAAAATCTACAGCAGAGTCATCTGCTGGTTGATATTGCAACTTTAGTACAAAGAATATTAAATATTATGATTTCATAATGCCATTGACTAACTTTACAATTTTATTGTTTTAAATATTAAATTATGAATACTATTGTGTTTGATGTACCAGCATTTCGAATAATGTGCCTTGATTAAACTTAAAAAAAGTATGCAGACAATAATTGAGTACCTACATTAGTAAATTTGTGTAAGTTTATTGTAGAAACTTATATTTGTAAATAGGAATAGAGTGGACACTAATGAATTATGTATGAATGATATGATTTTAATTTATAAGATTTAAAAATAAATACCTCCAAATATACTTTTCGTTGTTTTGTTTTGACGCATTTATTAAGTTTTTTTTAATGGACTTCCCACGACGGGGTAGTGTGCCGGACTTTTACCGGCTAAAACCACCGCGGTGTTCATCCTCTGCCTGTGGCCGTGACCCGGGACGCTCTTGCGGATTCACCGCACTCGGCAGGCCTCGACCTACCACTAAATTGTGGCAGGTCCCATCACGTAGCAGCCCTCAAAAGCTGCGATTTCCTCACTCGAGTGGCGCGCGTGAACACACCACAGCTAATGCCTACTCCCGCCCATACAGCGGACGACTGACTCCCCTAATCAGTCGCAGATCAGCTACCACTTCGGGGCGTTGACGGCCAGCGCGTCTACGGCGGGAAGGGATAGAGCTGGACGCCAAACTATCCCTTTCAGCCGCCTCCTTTGCATACATGACACTTTCATAGAAGGAAGCGAGTCCAATTTATTAAGTATTACCTAATAACTTCGTCTTGTTTCGACGAGTGTAGGAGCGCTCAAAGCATTGTAGTAATTCCTAACATTTGGTAGCAATTAATATTTTTTAACAATAATGTGGAAGTGCTTTCAAATTCAGATAAATGTATTTTTTGAGTGTTTTAAGGAAGTGAAGGTTTCGGAACCAAGTAGAGAAGTAAATTACACTCAGCCCAGTTTTTTGATAGGGTACCGTTATGCTGGTAAGAAAATGCCATATTGACTCCATACAGAGACTAGCAGTTGTTACATCAAATATTGCCTCCTATATAGGGAGGCAATATCTTTTGCAATAATTTTTCGGCGCAATTTAATTTTTGTACCTAACTCTAACTAGACTGACTGTACTTGCGTAAAGTAAACAAAATTTTAATAAAGTTATTATTTTATTCGATAAGACATTCACAATCTGAAAACCAGAGGCAATTAATAATCTGCTGTTAAGGCAATTTATGAATGCTAAAGTAAATAAATTAATTATCTATTTATCTTAACCAGCGAATAACATCTTTTTGCGCCAACAAGTCGTTAGTATCTTCGACGCGTCTAAAGAATGTAATAATCTACTAAATAAAAATATGTTGAATTATAATGTATTAATTAGTACACCTCTTAAAGTTAGTTATAATAGTGCAAAATTCAAAGTTTAAGTCTTGTATTTTGATTAACCTAAATAATGGTCATGTAAATATCACACTACCTGGAACCAATTAGCGATTACCCATTTTAACCACATAACGGTAATCACAAGTTAAATTTTGTTAGTTATTTTCAGATCTAATTATTATTCAGTTGTTACTAAAACGGTTTAAAAATGGTATAATTTAGAACCGAATATCATAATTTTATTTAACTGCGTCATTACTATAACAGAATTAAACAATTAACAGTAAATCTCTTCCAATAATTTAACAACCTATTAAATGCACATTTATATAGGCACCAGTGGCCCAAAATGAAGACAGCTTTCATAAATTCCACAGTCAAACTTCATCGCATCTATGTAGCTTTATAATTATTACTCAATTAGCAGGATATGGAGAGCATAAAGAATTGAGAAATAATATCTGTCAAGAAACTACGCTCCCATGAGAAGGAATGCACTTAGTTATGACACAGCCACGTGAATTTGTATAAAATAATAATTACAGAGTGTGCATATGACAATTTTTGATCAATAAAGTTTTTTCCTGTTTCACATCTACATCGTCCAATGGGTTGTCCATTGCCTGATGTAGATCTGAAACAGGAAAAGACGCGAATGCGCATCAAATACTTTTATAAATAGTCAAAAGGCCAATACACACAGAGAACAGCTAAATATTATAACTAATCTTCAGAAACAATAACCTACAATATAACATTGCATGTTTATGTTTACAACAACTAGTCGTAATTGTAACAAGCCTTATAACTGTAAAATTTTATTATTATACATTTTACATCTAATGTGCAGGTATTTGTAAACATTAGCTACATTAAGCCATTTTAGGGCCACTGTTTCCAAACATTTAACCTACATGATTCAATATACGACTCATTGGCTGTGAAATACTAAGCACTCGATACTGTCGATGATTGTAAAGCGAGATAATTTCGATTTGATATATGTAATATACAAAGAGCACTATGATACGCGTAAATACATTGATATTCAATATTCGTCTTCCTCCGGCGGGTGTGGGTTGTCGCCGTCTATTTCCTCTGGAGGCGCGAATCCGTCCTGTGAAAGGAAAATTGTGATTAATGATATGTTCACTCGACTCACAACTCTTACTTCATGTTTAGTGTGTCATGTTTCCAATGAATAGTGTTGAGCTCAGTTGTTGATAATTCAGCTCTGACTAATACAACAGCATAAGATTATTTTTATTATGATAAGATATTGTATGTATTGTTGTTGTTATGATGAAATATAATGAAGAAAAATAGATGTACCTCAGTTGCATATAAGATATCCAAAATCTTCTGAACAATTGGAGCATTCTGCTGTTCTTCCATTTCTTGACAGATCACCTCTATATCCCGGAGTTTACCAAAATAGAAGTCCCTCTCTTTCTCGAGGCCGTCAACTGTTGCTTTCAATTCATTTATCTGTGGACAGTATTCGTAGTTAAGTTCAAATATTGTTCTGATTAGATTCTTCTAATGTTTAAATTGACCAATAGACTTTTTCAAATTACCTGAAGATTTAATTCGTCAATAACTTTCGAGTCTCCTTTAGCACTTTGATTTATTCTGGCTAAATTAACTGGTGGAGATCTTACTGTGCTGTTTGCTTTACCAACTGTAAAACATTAGAATATGTTAGTTATATGAAATCTAAGAAAAAATCATTAAATCATATTTAATAATTAATATCAATTGACTGACTTTGACGAAACTATAAAGCAATTAAAATTCCATACATATAAATAAGCAAAATACCAACAAGGAAAATATAAATATCTTCCTGTACTGACATGAACAACAACAAAATAATTACAAATAAGAATAGACATAACACAAATTAATATAAATAATATAACTAGGTGCAAGAATGATTCCTAAATAAATAAAAAATGGGATATTATGATAAATGAGAACATGCTGAGTAAATAAGAATAATAATGGTAAAATGTGCAAGTTATTATATTGTACAAGTGCCAGCTGAAATGCGTCAAATATATTATTTATTTTTACTTCTCATTTCATACACTAAGTAATTTATAAATGTCGATATTGTCATACAATAGAAATACGTTATAAATATAAAATGAAATTACGGGCGCAAAATATTATTTACTTAGATATGGCAATGGTTCTGTTAATGTTTATATTTATATAAATAAACTACAGATACTGGTTATCATTGTCTTGTTTGCGATCTTTTATCAATGCAACTCAATATAAAAGCAAAGTTAATAACAAAAATCAATGTTTATAAAGAAAACAAAATAGTACTGGATTGGGGTCTAGCTGCGACTTTGGCGACAGGCGCCGTCGGTTTCTTGGCAACTGCTGCCGCGGCCCGAGGGGCTGAGGCACCCCCGTGCCCCATAGGCAGACCCTCGCGTTGCGCCACCGCGTCATATTCCGTGCCTCCATAGTTGGCATCAAAGAATTTCTTGAACCATTGCAAAAATTCAAAATTGTCTTGGAAACGACCCTTCACCAGTCTGTCAATGGGTACTATCTACAAAAGAAAAAGTGAAGGTAAAAAATAAAAAGAATCACAATGCTACAAAAAGTGCCGCTACCTGCCTACAACAGACTATTACTAAATAAGGTGTGTACAGATGAGCACACATAGCAACACCACAGCGACATCACAATGTAGAGTACAGAAACAAGTCACACAAGTGTTGCTATGAGTAACTGATGAGTGGGGTGCATTATTGTATTCGGCTGATGCATACTGCCGGAATGGTGCATAGGAGCTGGGCGGCGGGCAGCCCTGGGTGGCGGTGGCACCTGCACTGCCCCACATAACGGCACTCCTGATTCACAAGCCCCTGACCCGATAGTGATGCCACCACGTGCCTCAAAAGCATCATATTCCCTCCCATCATAATTGGCATCAAAAAATTTTTTAAACCACTGTAAAAACTCAAAATTGTCTTGGAATCTCCCTTTTATCAGCTTGTCCACTGGTATTACCTATAAAGCATATTATTGGTGTGTGGTCAATTGTAAAACAACAGGTTGTAATATCATTTCTCAAGTTACAGGGCATTCACTTGAAGACTAATATGATCTTAGGGCAAGATCTCATTATTATCTAAAATTCTTATAACATTCCAATAATACTATCAGTGAATTTAAGTATACAAGTGTGCAAACACACAATGTGTTCAAAGTGCTTCTTGAAGCTTGGTATAGTTTAAGAGAAAATAATTTTGAATACAAAACAAAATTAACAACACTTAGCCAAAAAATGTACTGTATAGTGTATCTTTATTAATTAGCCTGTAACTAATTAAAGCATAACATTGAAGACTATAGTTACCTTATCAACACCCATTTTTTTGAAACCAGCTTGTAGTATTTTGAAGTTTTGTATGTATTCATGTTCTAAATTTGTTTTGAACTTAATTCTTTTCATGGGCACACTGTTCGGGAACAACATGTCCATGAACTGGCAGTAAGCAGCGCCTGTGCAAAGTTCCTCAATCTTGGCGAAATTCGACTGCAGGCAGTCGTTCACCCACGCCAACATATCATGTCGTGACAAATTCTCAGAAGTCACGTTCGTTGAATAAACGTTCACTGCCATCTTCACTACTCCAATACTTTCGTCTAAAAGTTAAATTAATCAAAACATTAAAAGAGTGCCCGAAGACCGGCTTAAAATCGACAGCAATGCGTTTCTGAAAAAAGAAAGCCGATCTAAAAATAGGTCGTGGTATATCCGTGACGATTTCCCAACAAACTACCCAAAGTTGTATCAAACCACTTAGAAAACACCTGTCTGAATATTTCTTGAATGTTTTGAACTTCAATTATAGCAAAATAACAGTAAACGTCCGCTACAACGGATGTGGTGATAATAATATGACAGGGGACAAGACGACTCATCAAAAATCTGTAGCGCCGCATGATGAAAGTTCGGCACACCCTGATCGACTACAATAATATAATTACGTGAATTACCTTTGATTAACGAAGTCCAAGGTTTAAATCTTCTTTAATTTGTCCTATTTGAACAAGCAAAGCAACCAAAAACGTTAGATTTTTGTCCAAAAACGCTTCGCCGTGTTCTTTCCGTGTTAAACATAGACAAAGTATCATAGACTACACAAGCATTTTTATTATAAAGACATTCTCTTTGCTTTGGTTGAATGATTACCTATTTTCCTCTATTGTACTTATTACCTTTTTTCTGTATGTAATCGAATCGATTACAAAATAGCAATTCAATCAAAATTTGCTGACTGCATACCTTACCCAACGGGGCCTCAGATTTAGCCCTCGACGTTTGTGTCGCGTCCGCGGATACTTATTACTTTAATAAATAGGCAGTATAGGCATTTGGGCATAAGTATCAAAAATGCCCCTATCTAACAATAGTAGTTACTTTTCAGCTTCTATACATTTTATTCGTGCATGTTATTATTTAATCGAATAGACTCAGTTCGGTTGGGCAAGTAACCGGCTTGTCACATACTAAATTAATAACTTACAAATTATAACACTAACTTTAAAGTAATAAAAGGGCAATGACAGGAAGGTCAGACAAGAGACAGACAGACAGACAGACAATTCTTATCTTCTTCTCCAAGAAGAATCAAAGTCTAATTAAAAATACTCGGTATTTTAGGTAATAATACGTCCATATATGTACATATACTCCAAATTCAAATACACATTACTCACAAAAAATTAAATAAATATACAAAAAGCAGAACGAATTATCCTGATTTCTGTGTTTATTTATCCGGATTTGTCACTGATATGATAAGAGTAATTTATAAATCTATGGGATTTGTATTGTTGGCAACATTACAAAGAATGTCGTATTCGTATGTCAATGTCATTCCTGTAAAACATGACTTTGACGTTTACCCCGACCCCCGCGAAATGAGTTGCGAATGTTTATTTTTGTAGATATATTATGCAAGGAATATACTACTATGACTTCACTAATCAAAAGTTAGTCGTGAGATAATAAGGTGTGGTTGTGAGCCTTAAGTAAATAAAAAGAGACGAAGTTGGGACTCACGTATTAATTAATGTTGTGATAAAATTCAAATTTGTAAAGGGTATCAAAATACTTATTACTTTGTTTTTAAAAAATTATCAAGGAACAATTAGGTAAAGTTTTATTAAACTACATTAATTAAGATGACAATAGTTTATTTACATTCGTAATATCTTTGTGATTGTAATGACTTGTATAATTTCGGCAGTGCGTAATCAGTTTTCTTTTACCTAATTATTTTAGCATAATGGCTCAAGAGGAGGAACAGTTAACTGAACGTGATCCTAATATCAATACAATTAGTGAAATACCAGCAAAAAAGTTTGCTATTACTATGGAATTTCCTTTGTTTCTTGTGATGATGGGGATGTCTTTATGTGGTAAGTCTCTAATTTAAAATCTATTTTTATTTCGCACGAACAACTCGCAAGAATAAAATGTTAGTAGAATATTTAAACTATTCATACCTTTAATTTGTATTATCACTTCAGTGTTAATTTGAATAAATATTCACAAGTAATTTGTATGTCTGAGTGACTAATAGATAGACCATTAAAAGTTAACATTTAACTATATAAAAGTCATAATAAGTCATTACACTAAACTTGTGTGGGGATTTTATAAAAACAATGTGCTTATTTATTATTATTTCTCATATTGTGTTATGTTGTGAGTCAAAATTAAATATGTAATCTGGTGTCAATGAAGAATTTAAACATTTATTAAAACAAGTATGTTTAAAAAATAGGACAAAGTACTTATGATCATCATTTTTGGATTTGTTTTCTACATGGTATTTATGTTTATTCAATGATGGTGAATTTTAATTGAGTTTGGTTCATGTCTGATTATTCCTTAAATAGTTTCATCTCATGATACAATTTGAAAGTCAACCTGTTTTGTAATAGTAGTTACAAAAATATGCTCATGAAAACATAAATTATTGATACTTATGTATTTGGTATAACTAATGTGCTATAATGATAATACTGCTAATGCTATAGCAACAAAACAGATAAGAAATATAACTGAGAAAAAACTACTAAAAACTCGGCCTAATATCAAAAGACAAAAGAAAAAAGATAGCAATGTCACTGATAACATTTTTGTCAGTGAAGCTGCAAAACAACTTATAATTTATTACGAAAACATATCATATTATAAAAGATTTACAAAGATAAATTGTCCATTATGTATCATGCATTATGATAACAACAAAGTTTTGATATCAAGTTTCTTTTTTCAGATAGTAATGATGCCAACAAAATAATTTGGTATGGCAACATAATATAATATTTAGGTAGTTACTTGGATAGTTTATAATCTGTATTTGGAGTTTTATTAACCTTAATTGTTGTTTGTTTGTTAATTGAATGCATTTAAGTTGATAGATAATAAGTAGATAAGTTATCTGGCATGTAATAAATGTTTGCATGCATTTATTCCCTTATTTTAATAACTATTACATAGTTTGATTTTAGATTATAGGCTTTTAAGTTCCATATAAAGGTCTATACATTTATCGTAAATGCCTTGTTTGAATATAATATTACATAGTTACCCAGTAATGGTCTTATTGGTCAAGTTACTGTACCGCGAATGTCGATAAAGGGGTTGGTTTGATTCCAATTCCAAATTTCCGTATTAGCGCCGCCTGAAATGCTTATTGCCATTTGCCATACGTGGGACAGTATTTCAGACTTCTTGATATTTAAACAAGTAGAAAATGTCATTGCCCAATCTGGGAAACGACCCCGCGATACTTTGCCCGGCAGTTGGGGCGCGCTGCCACTTAATCAACGAGCTGGTCGTAAATAATGGGAGAATATAATATTTAGTTCAGCTAAAGACAATCGAATTCTAAATACGATATGTCAATACCTAACTACCATTCTAAATTTTTGGCAAAAATAAATAAAAACTGCGTTTAAAAAACCGCCTTCCAAAAACCAAAAACTAATAATAAACAAACAAAAAGTAAAAACTAAGATGCAAAAAATAACTATTATTGGTTTTGATAGGTTACCCACCCGCTTAGGTTTAGAAGTCGGCGCCAAAGTTTCATACAAAATTATTCATTAAAACCTTAATAGGTAGATTTATATCATTATGATATGAGCCTTATCAAATTATTGTGTTAAAGAAATAATTGAAAAATATAATAAATATACTAATTGAAAAATATAATAGACGCATTACTCGCCCCTACAAGTTTCGAAAGTTCGCCCTTTGGTTTCCCTAGGGTTTCATCATCATTATACCCTTTCGAACAAAACAACAATAGGCGTGTCGACAGGGTAAAAAAATCAAAAAAGTAATTAGTCCGTCATTAAGATCGCACGAAAATATCAGACACGTATTTTTTGTTTTATCAAATTAACAGAAGAATGCGTAGTTATTCCGCATTAAAGTTAGGGAGTGGGGGGTGTTGACGTCACACTTACGGAGAAATCGTACCTAATTGTGACGTCACGCGTCATTTTAACTCAAAATATCTACATGTTTTTTTGGATACGAGAAAAAAGAAAAAATACGTATCGAAGATTTTTAAAATATCTAAAAGACGGACAAAAAATTAAAAAATAGTCGCCATGCCTATTATCGAAATCGGTTGACAAATGGCGGAGTAATCGGCGAAGAAACAAAAAACTAAATAAAAACAATCGGCCGAACATAGTACATCCTCCTTTTTATGAAATCGGTAAAAATACATAAAATGACTATGACAATAATCACGGGGAATTGACAATAGACGCTGAACTGTGAGCTATCAACCGAAACTGCCAACATCCCGGTTGTTTTTATCACTCAGCTCGACATAATCTAAATTCAACTCAAATAAAAATTGGTCTGAAAATCATCGGTTAATATCACGCCTTTTATCCCCGAAAGGATAGGCGGAGGTGCACATTACGGCACTTAATGCCATTGTACAATGTAACACCCACTTTTCATTATTTATGTTATGAGTCCCATGTAATGAGCCTATGGCCATAACCGGAGTCGCGGAGAACCTAACGGGTAACCGGGGCTCCGGCTCGACGTGCAGGAGAAGGAACGGGGTGGTTTTTAGTCAGTAAGAGTCTGACACTCCCTCCCGCCTCACCCAGGCGGGAACAGTCATTCGATGATTTTCCCCCCTTAAAAAAAAGGGCCATAACCGAGCAAAATTACGGACTCCGTGCTACCACTGAGAATTTTTTAAAAAAACCAGTAGTCCGACTCGGGAATCGTACCCGAGACACCTTGACCGGCAGTCGCACTTACGACCACTCGGCCACGACCACTCGGTCGAGGCAGTCAACATCAAATTGTTTATAAAAATATTTAATTCCATATCTGGGAGCACGGGAAAGCCCCCGCCGAGACAAGCCTAACTTATATCGAAAATTACATAAGTAGGTGTTCTGCAGATTGAAACTGAGTTTAGATTGTCATTTAATCTAATTTTGAACAAACAAATTATATCTATAGACATATTGGCACGCACGTTTTTAAACAAGGCATTATTGTTTGACCCGAAACATTTTATCGTTGTTCATTCACACCGCGGTTGTGATGTGACTTATGTGAGGTATCTATACCGAAATGTGTACCTTGACTAGATATCCTGTACTTTTTTTTAGGTATCTATTTATATGGTATAAGCCGGTGGGGTCTGTGGGGGTTCCGGGATTTGGGAGATTTGGGCGTCCGGTACCCTCACTCATACGACGAAAGTGACGAAACATAAAGCAAGCAATGTTTCATGTTGGTTTTCTGTGAGGATGTGGTATCACTCCGATCGAGCCGGCCGTTCGTGCCGAAGCATGGCTGTCCCACACTTAATTTTTAAACTAATAGGTATATTTTAGATAAGGTAGTCGAGGGTCATAATAACGTATTAAATCCGTACAGAAAACTGTAAAATTTTTACACATAGGTACCTACTACCTACATACCTACATTTTGTTGTTTTGTTCCAATTAATCCTAGCATGAATCACTCATTACTTCAAGCTCCAATGTCATTCGATGATAATTTTATGTCCTTTGTGACATTTGATGAATTTCCGCTTACGTAGGTAGATATACAGAGACCAGCTCATCAACCTTAAAATTTCTTTAAAAGCCTTCCAACTTTATTGTATTATTAGAAGAGTTCTTGATCCCCCGTATTTTTGACAGTTATAGCTATTAAGTACGGCGGTATCTTAACACCTGGTTGCCAAAATATTTTACTGGTCGCCAGCCTTAACCTGGGTTTATTCTAATAGCTAATCCAGGTTTGACTTTGTTTTTGGCTTAGCTATGAGTCGGAGAAATTACTTACTATGAACTATTGTAACTTATTTCACATACCTGCTTAGTACCTACTTCATTTTGGCTAGGTACTGTTGTTTGTTTGTAATAGTCCCTTAAGAGACAAACATGTTGGAAAAAAGGGGTAGCAATTTTACTTCCTCATAAATACACCTGTTTAAATTAATATAAATTAAATCGTCCTCAGTCCTCATGCATGAGCCAAGCCCGGGAGCCAGTTTTTAGTCAGTAAAAACTGTCTGACACTCCCTCCCGCCTCGCCATGGCCTGTGTCGAGTGGCTGCTCCATGATTTGCCCCCCTTAAAAAAAGCCCGGGAGGCATCAACTGTTAAACAAAGGGCATGAAATGTCTTCTACATTAGCAGGAGTTTCCCACAATACGTACGCTTGCCAGGCGGCTAGGCACTTTGTAACCTATCCGAGTACGAGACGTACCTACTCGAGTTTGTTTCTCGTGTTTCGTGTCTTCCACATAAAATTTACCGAGAGAAGTGGAAACTATAGTTTTTTCTTCTCTAATAATGTGTTTTCATGGTGGTATCCACTGTAGATGTCGCGGAGAACCTAACGGGTAACCGGGGCTCCGGCTCGACGTGCAGGAGAAGGAACGGGGTGGTTTTTAGTCAGTAAGGGTCTGACACTCCCTCCCGCCTCACCCAGGCAGGAGCAGTCATTCGATGATTTTCCCCCCTTAAACTGTCAAACACCAAGCGGTCACCGGTGACCGCAACCTATTGTTCTATAATTGTGTCTACAAAACCGGTACTCGACGAGTTAAAAAAAAAAATCCACTGTAGATCCTGGCTTACAGGAGTTGCAGAGGTTTTGGGAGGCTGTGGCGGGCTTGTCCTAACAAAAAAAGGCGTACTCGGGTTTAGAATATAACGGATAGATGGTGATTCACATTAATCCATTATTTTATCTCTAACAATGTAGCAGTACTTATTATGTAAATTGACTGCCTAGTTGCTCGAGTGTTTCCAGGTGGTACAAGGTATTAGTCATAGTCATAATGTTATAATAGGGTGCGCTAATACAATGAAACTAATAATATGTGACATGGCTGGTGATAAGTGGGTGTAGGTACTATTTTATCAATTATAATATTATCAGTTTTCCCATTTAAGAAATAAAAACGTGATGTTATTTTACATTATATACCTAGGCACCTAGTAAGTTACTCAAACTGAGTAAGTAATTTGCATAGTTATCTATTGTAATGCATGGTACCATTTTACTTAAGTATGATTATATTTTGGAAACCTAATATTCTATTGGTTCCTATCCTTAACAATTTGATTGCCAAGTTCCAAACGTTGAAAGTCAAATCTTCCTTAATGTTAGACGTGGTAACGGACAAATACCGTAGTTAGAATAACAAAACCTCCTCCTTTTTTGAAGTCGGATAAAATGTATACAAAAACCATAATAGGTAATGTAACATGGTAATAATGAAAACCTGGTTTTAAGTAGAGGTTCAAGTTACATTATTTAAATGGTAAAAGGATTTACCTTGGCCTCAATATTTTATCATGTCAACAGATATAAATCCCTACCTTTCTTTTTAGATTAGTATTTTCCTAGATTGTAGTTTAATAAGATTCAATAAGTAGATAGAAATACCAAGTGCTTCTAATATTCTTTATGTCTAACTCGTCTCTAAAATTTTTAGGAGCGGCTATAAGCAACGTAGTATTGTACCGAACTTGCGTCCACGCTCTACACTATTCCGTGGACGAATGCAAGCCATTCCTGTCAATAGACAAGACTAATGAGACCCAACACTTGGAAGCTGAGGTTCAAAGATATGCGACTGTTGTGGGGACAGTCAGGAGTGTCATGGAAGCAGTGGTACCCGCGATACTATGCTTCTTTTTGGGAGTATGGTCTGATACCCATGGTCGAAAACCACTGGTGGTGTGGCCGCTTTTCGGTAAGTAATGCAGTGATATCCTATTTAACAGTTTGACTGCCGAAAGAAAACTGTTGAAGGTAAATCCTCCGCTATCGTGGCCCATACCTTGTCCCCCATGGCGTTCAAGGTGTTAAATTATGAAAGTAAATGCTAGTAATATTGTACTGGAAGGCCAATTTCTTTTATAAGACGTTCTAGCTGTTCCAATTACAAAATTTGTGAATATGGATGGTATCTGGGGGTTTCTGGGGGTACGGGAAAGTCAGTTAAGACCAGTCTTTACTCTTTCTACTTTTTATCCCGGTAATGCGAATATAAGCGGTGGTAGAAATTGTATATAAGACATATCGATGTACTTACGTGTATACTGTTAATAACTAAAGTCACCGTGCCATTTGAGAGCACAATAAAAAAAATAAAAACCTACTGGGTTATATTTTTTAGCGAACAAAATATTGTTTAAAGTATTGCTTTAGGAGGCTACCAATAAAAATCTGTTCCTCGCCGGTTTATAGAGGCACATATTTTTTTCTTAATGGGTGCTTAAATTGCCTTTTCGAATATGCATATGTTATTGACTTTAGCCTGTTGTTCCACTTCACCAGGTCTTTAAATGTGACTAAAATTAGTCTGACTGCAACTGACCTGTGAAACCCGTTTGCCCATACTCGTCAGATTTATCTGCAAATGCTAATTCTACCCTTTGTAAGGTCATAATTTTGTTTTCCATATATAAAAACAGAAAACTCTCAAAAACAGAAAACAAAATCGACTAAACTTCAATAAGTCGCAAAATATTGTCTGATTGCAAAATGACAATTCCTACCGGTTGTGTATGTACCTATGAATATGTATGTACCTATGAGTATGTAATTTTATCTCGCTTAAATTATTAAGTGCGCAAAATTATGTATTGTACAGTACATATCAAATACCTATTTATCTGTTTAATTTGAAATTGTAAATGGATAATCAGGTTCATAAACATTGTAAGTTCATAACACACTATTGCGGTATTATTTTGTTTATGAATCTATTTAATCACATGAAATCGGCAAACATAGCCTTATTTCAGACTAGTCATTGTTAGCCAAATCTTTATACAATACCATATGTACGTAATCATACGATAATTTGAACAATGATCTAAATCTACTTACATACGTCTTTATAGCTGGATTTTACTGGTTTCAACCGCATAGTAAATAACAATAATAACTCTTCTAAAAAATAAAATGTCTAAAAAGTTCTAATGCCACCAAGACCTCAAGAGCGTCGGCACAGGCGCTGGGTCATTTGTGGGTTAAAAAACACCACAAGTCTACAAATAAAATCTATGGAATTGTGCAAAGCTAGACTTGTTTCAAATAAAATCTAAAACGTTAATAATCTTGAAATTACTAATTCCAATACTTATTAATCGTTGATTAAATGTTCAATCAGATCCATTGTTCGAACTTCAATGTCAAAGTACTTATGCATCTGTTTATTTATAGCAGACATACATATTAGGTAGGTACTTAGTTCTAATAGTACCTAGTTGTACCTAGTCTATCTGTACAGTCGTCGGTCTCATATCTGACCTAATTACCTAATAATTACTATCTGCAACGAAGCGATGGTAAAATCGTGTTTGCAGCGGAAATAATTGATGCATTATAAACTGTATTTATTATATTAATGCGGTGGTTAAATTGTATCATGTATGCAGCTGTCGATTCGATCCAAGGCAAGGGATGGGAAAACTTTTTTGGGGGCTTTCGATTTTTATAGTTCTTGGTGTATATTCCTCTTCCCATGTTTAGCCTAATCGTTTAGGTTTAGGCTTTTTACCTGACTGTAGGAAGGGTATTGTTTTAAACAAAGCGTTAAGGGTGGAGTAAGAGAGCATAATAGCCTTACCAGAATAATTAGGTACCTACATATCTATCTATCTACGTACGTAGTGGAGCCGTGAGGAGCTTCGCAGCACATAACATTGCAGTCTCTTATAATTTTAGGTTTCTCGATGTCTGCTGGATTGACGGTCATCTACTGTATGTTGGACAGTTTGGGTCCCTGGTGGTTCGTATTGACTGCCATCCCCCAATCCCTCTGTGGAGGTTTTACCATTTTCTTTACTGGTGCATTTTGTTATTTGAATGACATCACGTCGACTGAGAATAGATCTATTAGGTAATATACAATAATGGTAAGCCGAATTTTCATTACAAGGACTTTTTTAGACTTTAATGAGTGGTTTTGTTTTGCAGGATGATGTTATTGGAAGCGGCTGTGGGTTTGGGAAGTGTAGCAGGAGCGCTACTGAGCCCTCACGTGTTAAGAATGGTGGGCAATGTATATCTGGTGTTAATAGCTACATCGCTAAACGTTTTAGCATACGCATTTACAAACGTATACATTAGAGAATCCTTGGTTGGAGCTATAGAGGTAAGTTGTGTATTTATTCATGAAAAAGTAATTTGAAGAAAATTATGTTTATTTGTCTAACGAGCAACGATCACAAAATTAGTGGATGTATGTCAAAGTGCTTCCTGAAGACGTTTTGTTTAAATCGACTATTTTTTTTACAATATTACTAGGTACAAATCGTATCCAGATTAGGTAGGTAGATACTAATTTACTCTGTAAATAGTGTGAACTTGTTGACATTTTCGAAAATATGGGTAGTTCGTTTACATAGTAGCACACAGAATTGCATGGCCTGAAGATCGATGAGATCAGAGATGAACCATGCAGTTCTCTCCAAATATTAAACGGCGCGCGGCGTTGTCGTCTTATAATAATGGAGTCACGATACATTGCGTGTTAACGTGAACTAACTGTAAAAAGGTTTTTATTTTATCATATTAATAAAAAGTTTATCGTTAATATTGACCCAGTTTATTGTTTTGCTAAATTTGTCGCGTCGCAATTTTGAGTAGTTTTTTTATTATCATACTGTCACACAGACACGATGTAAGTATGGTTAGTACCTATGTTTTAATTTCACTGTGAGAGCCAGGAAATAAGAATCGAAATATCTTTCTTAAACTTAGCTCTCTACGAATTATAATAATTATAATGAATGTAATTCCTAAATCATGGTGTGCCCATGGAAAACGAAGATTAATTAATAAGTAATTATTATAAATGCTAGATTTACCGGGAATCCCATTGGATGTTCCACTTATGTCAATCGCGTTCACCTACCGCAATTGTTTTTATGTCATATCAGTGATAAAGTATTGAATCACCATCGTAATCAGACGATGTCTCATGTCTTATCTGCAGCTGCTTCATAACCACTCCTATCAGATAAACCCTAAATACATCAACCGATTGACTGATTGCAAAAATATGTTTGTTACTTCCCGAAATATCGCTATTATCCTTATTGTTAATTATTAGAGACCGGATAATATGCAAGATAAAAAGCTTGAAATATGCATGCAAATATGCATGAAAAATGCCTAAAATATGCACGAAAACTGACAGAATATGCAACATTAAATGAGTTTTTTTTGTTTTCAAATCAAATCAAATCAAATCAAATTATTTATTTGCACAAAACATGGTAGGGAACAAGATGTTGAATAAAATGTTTAAGTACAGCATGTTTTGCCGTGGAACACAGCGCGCAAAAGTATTATTAAATTAAATACATCAATATGAATGAGTCATTTTACAATATAATCAAATTAGTATTAGACAAATAAGAATTTTATGATTCAGTCAATTAGGTATACATTTATAAAGAATAATATGAGATACAATTACATATTAAAATTATTTTCATTTAAGAATTCATGAATACTATAATAACATTTCTTGGCCAGAATTATTTTCAATTTATTTTTAAATAATCTTACATTACAATTTCTGATATCATTAGGAATTTTATTATATATTTTTGGCGCCATACATAATACGCTTTTTCGTGCCAGAGTAGTTTTTGCACTATGCAGACACAGTCTATTACCATTAATTTTGCGCCTGTTTCTTTTTATCACATCAGAAATTTGTTCAAATTGATGAGGGTTTTTGTGAACAAACAGTGCTGTCTCTAATATGTATAGTGACGGAAGTGTTAAAATTTTATGTGCTATAAAGGACGGTTTACAAGAGTCAGTCGAGTCCAGGTGAAACATGGCTCGTATGCAACGTTTTTGGGCCTTAAAAACCAGCGCATTATCTGTTGAGTTTCCCCAGAAGATTATCCCATACCGTAAGACAGAGTCAACAAGGCCGTGGTAGGCCGTAAGTGAAGCATCGATGTTAACTACTCGGGCCAATCTGCACATAGCGTATGCAGAACTGCTCACCTTTTTGCATAATTTTGCTATATGCGCCTTCCAATTCAACTGCCTATCGAAAGTTAGGCCTAGGAATTGCGCTGATTCAACCTCGTGTATAGGGTTACTATCGTAATCTATATGAATATCATGAGGCTGAGGTCTCTGGCTAAAGTGCATAACTTGAGTTTTTAATAAGTTTACTTTAAGATTGTTTTGTAAATATTATTCCTTTAGATTTAAGTATTTTGTTAGTAAATACTTGTCTTATTTATGTTTTACTTTATTATGTATGTATCTTTTTAATTTATTGTTATTTGATAAATTAAAAAACTATTAAGTTTTATATTTTTTATTAAAAAATCAGCATACATTTATAGAAAACTATCCATTGATAGATGTTAATCGATACAGTAGACATTATTTAATATTTTTGTAAACATTAACAATCAAGTATTGTTCCAAATGTTCAGTGGTAAGATTATGTCTTCGATCATTCAAAATATTTTTATAGGTCGAAAATGATCGCTCCACATCTACTGACGTAACTGGGCAGAATTTGAACTTTGAATTATCCGAGCACGAGCGTGTCAACAATCAAAGTAATAATGACATGCATAATAGGTGGGAGTAGCGCGGTAGGTAGCGCGCGGCGGCGCGATCATTTGTCTCTTTCATTTTTTGAGTACCTACCAAAACAAAATACGCGCGGCTGCCGAGTGCGCTACGCTCGAAAAATACCTACCTACTGTAAATTATAGCAATAATATGCATCATCACTAGATATTAGTAAAAATATGCTATTAGCCTTGAAAATCGCTTAAATATGCAAATGCATATGCAAATATGCAAATGCATATTATCCGGTCTCTATTAATTATCCAGGTGGCACATGATTCATTCGCTGCGCCACCTGCTAAATATAATATGTAGATTAGGGGTTTAAAAATAGCCAAAAATATACACCGAAAACAGGAAAGTCCGGTCAAAATAGAAAGAAAAATATAGAAAAAACAACTTTATCTGAATATTATTTTGTGAGCGCTAATTTCTCTGAAGTATTTAGCATTATAATATCAATGATAGGTACCTACATATGTCGATTCCGTATTATGGGGTACCTACCATATGCCATTTTACATTTATTCATCATAGGACGTCGAACAGATAATTGTAGAATAAAAGAATGTTGTAGTGTAGGGAATTTTTTGCAGTTTTTTCTGTCAACTCGAACGCCTTTCGTGTTCAACTGAACACTGACCTTCAGCATATTCGCTCACGATTTTAGCATGTACTCACCTATATTGTTTATTGCAAAAATACTCTTTAAGACTGTTTAGATGTTGTTTAAATAGTAACTGGATAAGAGATAATTATATAACATGAATAATAACGGGATGGTCACCAAACGCCATCATCACTATTATACTAGTATACAACAAAGTCGCTATCTGCCGTCTGTCTGTCCCTATGTATGCTTAGATCTTTAAAACTACGCAACGGATTTTGATGCGGTTTTTTTTAATAGTTAAAGTGATTTTTAAGGAAGTTTTATATGTATAATACATGAATATTGAACCCACTAGCGACCGGGTCGCTACAGGGTAGTCGCACACGCAACAAACTAATCAAAATTATTTTGTTCCAGGGTGGTCTTTCGACGGTCCTCGACTTCTTATTAGTCAAAGAGATGGTACGAGAATGTTTCAAGAGTCGACCAAACAATGGCAGAGCACAATTGCTCCTCTTGACAATAGCCAACAGCTTATCAATATTTATTCTATATGGATTGATTCCCTTAGAATACATGTTTACAAGACAAAAGCTTCATTGGGGCATAAAGGATTACACACAATTTTCAGCTGTAGGCACGGCAATATCCTTCTTAGGTTCCGCTATAGGAATTATTGTTCTACAAAAAATATTTAAGAGAAGTGATTTATTCGTTACTAATGTAGCGTTTATATCTGCAATCGCAGACTATCTTATTAGAACAGTTGCTACCAAGTCTTGGCATATGTATATGGGTAAGTTTATTTAATAACATAACATCACTCCTTTTATCTCCGAAGGGGTAGGCAGAGGTGCACATTACGGCGCTTAATGCCACTGTACAACGTCCCACCCAATTTTCATTATTCATGTTATGAGTCCCATGTAATAGGGTTTATCACAGAAATGTTAAAAGAATCCTTCTTTAATATATCTATGGGGTTTATCCTTACTAATATTACAATTCGGAAAGTGAGTTTGTTTGTTTCTTCCGCTTTTACGCCATAACTGCTAAACCGATTGCTTTGATTTTTTGCAGATGTACATATAGTTAGAAGTTCGGATTAAATAATAGGGTACTTTTATCCCGAAAAAATTTGATACTCTCGAGAGAAAACAAAAGTATTGGTATAGATGGCGCTGTGTGTATATGTCACATTGGCTTTTTATCCTTTTGTGACGCGAGCGAAGCCGCGGGTAAAAGCTAGATTAATATAAGTAAATAGGTATAGATTAAATAATATTTGCGGTTGTTTGTCGCCTTCCAACACATTTCTACTTCATTGTGTTGTTACGAATAATATTTTTCTAAAGGATTAATTAATTTAAATCACTATAATCATTCTAAATTGCGGTCAACATAAGGACGTAATATTTAATTAAGGAGTAGCAAAGTTATAATATTTTGTTTTTATAAATGCTTTGTAGCGACAAATCATAGTGACGCATAATATTGTTATCAATTATTTATTATTTAACCTAATGCGACTATTTTGAGCTTTGTTTGTTTCATAGTAGGTATTATGTGATGATTAATTTATTTTGGATGCTAAGCGCCAAGTTATTTGTCGCATTTCAAGCTTAAAGTCCGATATTCAAGGTTGTTAGACATGTAAGGGCAAGGTTCTATTCCTCGGGTTCGTAACTGACATGCAGCAATACTATTTTCACCAACTTCAACAAAGGATGGTATAATGATGATAATGTAAACAGATAAATAAAATTGGATTGTCTGAGTAATATTAAAATAACCGGTTTTTACTATATGCAAATGAATATACATACGATACACATACATACCAGAATAATTTTCTATTTTTGTCTGTCTGTTTGTTTGTACTGGCTAATCTCTTAAATGGCTGGAATTTTAACGGGACTTTATTGGCAATTAGCTGGATAGTTGGTGTACGAAGGAGTAACATGGTACTTTTATTTTGGAAAACTGAAACAAAAAAACGTTCGGTCCTAAAATTCATATTCTACGCGGACGAAGTCGCGGGCAACAGCTAGTGTATGTATGTATAATCATAGTTAGTTACTTAATTCTATATATTTTTCCCTTCCAGGTGCATCCATAGCGTCAGTAAAGGGTCTCTCGGCTCCATTAATCAGGTCCTTTTTGACGAAAATCCTACCTGTTGTGGATATAGCAAAAGTGTTCGCATTGATGTCTGCTATCGAAGGCATATGTCCCCTGATCTCACCATTTATGTACAATTCGCTGTACCAGTTCACCGTGGCCGTGTTCCCGGGATCGATCTATGTGCTCAGCAGTGCTGTTACTTTAGTCTGCGTTATCTGCATATCGTAAGTATTTTTGTACGCATATTTATTTCATTCGATTAATTTGTATAGCGGGCTCGATTCTCACACGGAATAGATACCTATCTAATTATTTTGTGGATTTATAAATCCTTATTCTGAGGCTGGAGTTGATGTGTTTGTAATGCACTATGTAAATGCACCCACGACACAGGCGAAATGCCTATTAAAACGATAAAGGCCTATTCCAACTTACTGTAGGCATATGTAGGTACCTTAAAAAGTGTCTATATGATAAATCGTATTAGGTACCTACTTACTTATTTACTGCAATAGATGTATATTTGTACTGTGCGAGTGCGAGCAACCATAAAGCCGGTATGGTTGATAAAGACAGAAGTATGACATTGACAACGCACAGGGACAATCCCGGAGGGGCCCTAAAAATATCAGTTTCGTGCATTGTTCAATATCACAATGATATACACGAACTTCAGAGCGTTTAATTAATCGGTTTAATACGTCGTTTGTCTAAACGTGGATCCACGCGAGACAATGTACATATTTTCTATTGTCTCATATTACGGGCATTCAAGCGGTTAAACTTCATGATCAATTTGAGTCCTTATAGGTACCTACCTACCATACTTATGTCGCGGAGAACCTAACGGGTAACCGGGGCTCCGGCTCGACGTGCAGAAGAAGGAACGGGGTCTTTTTAGTCAGTAAGAGTCTGACACTCCCTCCCGCCTCACCCAGGCGGGAGCAGTCATTCGATTATTCTGCCCTCTTAAAAAAAAACCATACTTATGTAGATGTTTTTCATTTACTTGTCTCAATGTTTTCTTGTTGGAATCAAGCTCAGATTTCTGCCCTTTTAAAGAAGTCAGATATCCTACAATACCTGTTCTTTAGGTACAAACCACAACATTTATACGTTTTAAAAATAAAAGAACATGAGTTTGTTTTGGCGCCATAAGTCCTAAGAACGTATTGGAGAATTATTATTTTAGTTCTTTTTTTCGTAACTTTAGGCACCTGATTTTATAACTAAAGATTTGTGCTCTACGCAAAGAGTAAAAATGTTTTATCTGATATTTATTTCCCTACAACACAAAATAGTAAATGTCTTATCATGTACTTTATCAGGAAAAGCGTAAAAATGTTGGTAAATCTAAATATGATAAATAATGTATTTTCATTATGATGTTTCATTTTTACCTATAGGAGATAATAAAAGCAATGATGAAATGCATAACTTTTTTTATGTAATACGCTGCCCCGCACTAAGATTTTTTACTGTAACGGGAGCGTTTATAAACACAACATAACGCCCATACCCGGTAAAACAATTTGTGGATCACAAAGTGTTACTCCGTGCGGGAATCAAATCCGCTACCCATTTTGCGGCAGCCTAGCCGGTTGAAATAATTTTTATAAACTGTACTAACATATTTTTTTTGTTTCAGAACCGTCCAATATTTCAGATGGAATGTAACCACTCCATATCAGACTTTGGTTGCAGCTTAGAAACTAGATAATTTACCAGGACAGTACATGCTTTATAATGTAGAAAGTACATAATAGTATACGCGCCTTGAATGCAGCAGAGAAAAAAAGTAAACAGATATCGAGCACCCAAGTTATTTACGACATATTTTATTTTACTGTAAAATGGAATTGAACTATGTACTGAACTTTGGTGTTCCACAAAGTATCCCACGAAAGTTAATTTTAATGAAAGTATGTAATGTGATATATAGTTTAGATTTTTATTGTAAGATTCAGATGTTTTTATCTTTGACATACAATTGAGAATTCGGGTATACCGAAAGGTATCAGATTTTTATAGCATGTGACTTATTAGCAGGTATTTAGTTTATTATAGGGTGGTGTTTAGTCAAACTTATTATAAGCGTCGTTGTCGATCAAAATTGTTATTTTATTGCGCTAGCAATGAACTAGTACTGTATTGTAAGTACCTCCGGTTTGACTGTAGTAGAATGAAATGCCTTATTTACGAAGTATTGAATTATATACACTTTATTATGTACTAAAATGTATGAATAAAAGGTATTATAAAAGATTAAAACCAGCGCCTTCTTATTACATCTTTTATTAATAATGTCTTAAGTCTAATGAATTCTTGGTTTTTGTCTTCTACTGCAACATTAAAAATATGTTGTTACAATGAAATAGAAAATACAAGGTACACTGTACTTGAAAATCAATTATCGAGTATTGATATGATGGCTAAAAAACTGTTACACGTTTGAACTGAAATGTTTTATGGCGTCGGGTGTATGAAATGTGAACCTATTCTACTTATATTAATAATCATCACAGATTACAAATTTTATTCTTCTAAAGTTTCAAGGTCAGGTTTTGTACAGAACAAAAATTTTTAGGCAAAGGACTGCCTAGACACTTACAGTGTATTAAACAATAACTTTTAGTTAAGTAATTTATATGCTTTTATCGAGATTCAAGATTTTACTCCATTTCCACCCAATTGCAACTGAAAGTCTCTTATAAGAAATGAATCTCGAGGTTACATCACATAGAAGTAGACTTATAATTATTTGTGGCCTATAACTAGGTATGTATTTATAGACTATTTTATTTTAAAATTTAAAGTGAGCAACTCTACATTTATAACATCACAGATCAGCCAGTTTTAATTTTGTTACCTTTATTTCAAAGATTGGTAGCTACCTAAACTTAGGTATGGAAGCAACACACGAAAAACAAAAACACTAAATATCTAAAAAAAATAATGGAAACAAACTTAATTGCTAAATAATAAAATGAAGAATTATAACAAGTGTAACAAATTGTGTTAATAGCAATGGAACTTATGCAAAATTTAATGTTATTATAGCTTGATCAAATCGTAGGAAACTTAAAATTATTACATACACATGAATAATACTAGTTTTTTATTATAATGTACAGTCTTATAATAATGAGGCCTGCTAAATTAAGAGTAATAACTATTTCTAAAACTGGGAACAAATTCGGATTAACTTCACCAGGAAGTAATTAAGATTGTCGCATAAGCGCCACTGGCTATTCACATGCACCAAAAGAAAACTAAACAAAAATCACTGTTTATACGCGCACTGGCGAAAGTAATATCAAGAAGTCCCTTAAATTTACCATTCTTCTTCAGGCTCCAGGCCTTGATCAACGGCTGACACAGCAGTATTGAAGTCCTGAAAAAAATTATAATTGATACTTAGCTAAATTGCTTTTAAATACAGAAATCGCATCTCTCTTTTTTTCATTACTTACATATCCATCAGTCTGTGGTTTGCATGTAGAAATAATCCAATAAGTTTTATCATAAAATTAATTATTAAGGACTTATCTGCCTAAATTAAGAAGTTAGTAAGAAATATTTAGTAATTTATCTTATACAGTAGGCTTCATAAAGTGGATGATTTTCCCCTTTCAAAAAAAAAAAGGCTTCATAAAGTTCAATTTGAAGTAGGAGCAGTTTCTTTTCAAATATCGAAATGTGAAATTGGTACTTAGAATAATGAAGTCTGTACTGAACAGGACTGTAAATTTTCGCTGTTAAAATACATAGAATTTAATGTATGTAAACAAATAACTTACTCGAATATCACTGCCACCATATTTGTTGCCCTTGTAAGAGGCAGTGCCACCTCCTTGCAGGAAGTCAGGTACAGTTTGATCTGCCTGTTTGAGGATCTTCGCCAAGTCAGGCGCTAGTTGCATGTCCTGTAATAAAATACGTTTTGTAAGTGATCCAATTAAAGTAAATGAGTACTAGAAAATATAATTAGACAAGTTTGATTGTTTCGAACTACACATGAAATTATAAAGATGACTTACTTGATCACCATCATAGAAAGATACTGCTTTGCCTCTGTTGCCCACACGACCGGTTCTACCAATCCTGTGCACATACTCGTCAATACTCTTTGGCAAATCATAGTTGACTACTATGTCAACATTCTTTATATCTGAAAAAAAAAAGAAGAATTTATTAATTCTATTACAAAAACTGATGAATATTGAAAAGAGGTTAGAAATAAACTTACCAAGTCCTCTGGCAGCTACAGCAGTGGCAACAAGGATGCAATGTCTGCCACTCTTGAAGTTGTCGAGGGCTTCCTCGCGTTCACGCTGCATACGGTCACCGTGAATCGATGACGTCAACATTTGTTGCTCAGATAACATCGCTGCTATGAAATCTGCGTTGCGCTTCGTCTCAACAAATACTAGAATGCGCTTGCCATCTGAAATTATTTTAAATAAGTATTATAAAAAATACTCTTGCTAAAAATCAACATTAACTATACAAAATAAGTTAGATAACACTTGTTGTTAAATTGATCATGACATGTGTTGGTTATTATAAATTGTAAGTTAAACTTTTGTTGCTGCTTTACAGTAATAACGATTACATCAGTTAGTCTCTTTACAAACACTCACCATTTTCTTCAATCAGCTTCTTCAATGTTGTTTGTTTTTCATATTTGGTGACTTGATGGAATATTTGTTCAACATCCGTGCTAGCGCCTCCCACGATACCGACGGCGACGAACAAGTAATTGTTCAAGAACCTGCCAGCCAAGTGCTGGATGTCTTCTGGGAATGTCGCCGAAAACATAAGCGTCTGTCTTTCTTTCTGCAAAAGAAAATACCGCAATTAGTTACCAATCTATAGATGGTAGTTATTATTAGTTCTAGTTTAAAAGTTTTACTTACAATCGGGACCATGGTAGGGTGGTCCATCATTTTTTCAACACTGGGTATGAAACCCATATCCAGCATGCGATCTGCTTCATCAAGTACCACAAAGCGGATGCTATCGAAGGACACACGGTTGCGGTCCACGAAGTCATGGAGACGGCCCGGAGTAGCCACGAGGATGTGGCAGCCTCTCTACAATTAGCAAAGAAAAGCCTCTTTAAAAATATTGTTTCTATATTTGTAATTAAACCGAGTGTTATTATCTGTGTTTTGTACAATATCTGTATATAAACTACTGTAGTTAACAATATTTGAATAGATTAATTAAAGTCTAAGTCTGCGCCATATGCGTCACAATAAAAAATATATATTATGTTGTTTAGATTTGAGTTCTGTTACTATTTTACTTTAAAGATTGTTAGCCATTTTATAGATAGCACTAATGGTGCTATTGTTTTCCCTATACAGATCTTAAAACATGATTAACTATTAAAAATAGAATGTACTGTAGGTAGATGTAAATGACTTCGAAGAAAACCATACCATTAATTGGGCATGCATTATGTATCATTTATGGTAATCAAATTACATTATGACTAGAGATCATACCATATTCTGTAAAAAATTGTAATGGATGACTCATTAGTAGACTTTATGAATACTAGTTAACACTTACAGAGATGTTATCGCCTTGATGACGAACTGCCGTTCCACCGTAAGCGACGGCAATTTTAAGTATCGATCCATAAGAGAACTTCCTTGCTTCATTGAAGATTTGCAGTGTCAACTCTCGAGTAGGTGACACTATGACGACCTAAGAAAAATGAGATATTATTAAAATTTTTCTTCATGAAGAGATAAAATTTACTTGTCAGAAAGATACATACTTGTGGTTGAGCGCATCCACCTGGTCCCACAACAAGTTCTCTTTCATCTTGCAGTAGTGTGTTTATGATTGGCAGAAGGAAAGCAGCCTAGGAAAACAAGTGTATTAGAAAAAATATCCATTATTAAAATGTGAATAAAATGTATGAAGTTATTTATTTTACCGTCTTTCCAGATCCAGTTTGGGCACATCCCATGAGATCTCGCCCACCCATTATGATGGGAATAGCGTGTTTTTGAATAGGCGTCGGTTTCTTGTACCCAGCCTTGAGAATGTTGTCCACCACATACTTTCGCAGATTGGCAGTCTCGAAGCTTTCGACAGCGCGTGGAGGATTTTCACCGCTGACCTACGTAAAAAGAGATCGACATTTATTTCGATTGTCATATGAATTAAATACGAAAATACCCTCCCCTATGGAAGAAACATGAGTTTGTGTGTTATATTATGCACACAAGAGTACTTGAAAGTTTTGAAAAGTTAATAAGATACTCTATATTTTTTTTCTTGATAAAACCAAACACCTTTCTACGTTTTAAGATAAGAGTTATCTCCCATTAAGAAACCTTTCTTTTCTGTGAGTGGATAATTTTCAAAATCGTAAAGTTCAACACATTTGTGTGTGTATATAAAACTTTTTACTTTGCCATATTACATATTTATTTCCAACTAGCTTTTATCCGCGGCTTCGCTCGCGTCACAAAAGGATAAAAAGTAGCCTATGTGACATATAGCAATACACACAGCGCCATCTATACCAATACTTTTGTTTTCCCTCGGGAATATCATATTCTTCGGGATAAAAAGTTAAAACTTAAAACCCTATTATTTAATCCAGAATTCTAACTTTATGTCTGCAAAAATTCAAAGCAATCGGTTTAGTAGTTACGGCGTAAAAGCGGAACAAACAAACAAACAAACTCACTTTCTGATTTATAATATTAGTAAGGACTAATGGCTTATCAACAGTAGCTATTAAATACATGGGCCCCAGATTTCAAGGTTAGAATCTACAATAAAAGATAAGACCTTGAAATAAAGGTCAAGATTTGCTTAAATTAAAATTATAACACATTTTTATACAAAGGAAGATACTGTATGTAGAATTAGTGTATTGTGTTTTACTTACTTTAACAGCAATGCAGTCAAATTTGTCAAAGTTAATGCCAGAGCTTATAGTGCTGCTGAAGATCTCTTGTTCATTCTCTGTGGGTTCAGGCGGGACATATGTGACTGGGGGCTTCTTAGGTTCTCCATCCTCGCCAAGTTCAGTTGGGCCATCTCCACTGACGCCACCACCTCTGCCACCACCGCGCCCCCCGCGGCCTCGCCCGCGTCCACGCTCCCCACGATCCCGTCTATCGTCACCGTCGCCTAGTTTCGAATAACAATTGCATTGGTAAAATAATATGTATATTGTATACTCATATTGTGTGCTAGTATGTAGATCATAGTACCATAGTTCGTAATGATAAATCGCGATGTCCGTGTGTATGTCCACTAGTATATATTTATTGAACTTAGCTATTTCCTGTTGCAATAACTGATTAGAACTTGATGATTTGTCATAAAATTATTAATCTTAATGCTTGAAGCCCTCAATACTTATTGATAGCATCCTGTGTATGTGTGTGTAGTGGTTGGGCGAGTAGATTTTGTGTAATATGTCGCGGGTTCGATTCCCGCATGGAACTATTATTTGTGTCACCATGTGTTGTGAAAGTTATGTATATTTATTGCATCTGTGACAAAGGAGAAACACATGTTGCGTCCATGTTAAAAACAACAAACATAAACGCTTACCATTTTCATAGTCCCTTGGCTCCCTGCCGGGCCCGCCGCCGCGTCCGCCCCTCCCTCCTCTACCGCGGCCCCCGCCTCGTCCACCACGACCCCGTCGTTCTCCAAAGTCATCACTGCCTACTTTACAGTCATCATATTCTAAAAAAATAAGCAAACATCCACTTCAGCACATAAATCTTAGTACAAGAGTGCCAAGTGGTAATATGATACTAAGCTGAGTGCGAGGTTCAAGTTTTTTATTCATAAATAGCCACTTGACAAAATAGTTCCATCACAAGCACTTTTAGGCAACTTAGAAATGGTTGATAGTATAAGTGGAACAGGGACATAAATATTTCTTATTGGACAATTTTAATCAAAGATATTTTGTTGGTTAAATGGGAATATTTATAAAAAACAACTGATAATCTTCAATAAGAAAAATTCAACATTAAAAGTAAGGATATAAGTACCATTTTCATTAAACGATGGGAATCCCCTTCCTCTAGAGAGACTGTGTCCTTCGTCAATATTCGAGTGGTTGTTTGATACTACACCCTGGAATGATATTCAGCAAAATTTAAAACAAAATTATTTCAGACAATTTAAAAAATAATGAACACTCTGGTATTCATACTCCTGGTGCTCCAGATTGGACAAACTTTAATTAGATTTATACATTATAAATTTCTTAAAGAACTCGGAAACATTAAAAATTATGTACACCATGTTGTTTCAGAGTTGTTGAATCTTTGAGAATGTATTATAAGATGACTATGGAAGTGATGTTTTTCTTGTGTATCCAGTTCCTATGTGTATACTAAGCTCAATTTCAATTGTCAATATTTTGAAACAAATGTTATGAGTAGGTCTTAGACATGAAAGTAAACCTTGTTGGGCAAAATAAATACTAGTAAAATTTTTAAATTATAGAGAAGTTACTGCCAATGTATATAGATGTAAGTATATAATATCATTAGGGTATGATGAGGCCAGGATGATCATGTTTGATCAAATGCCGCTTATATCTTTCAATAAAGATAAATTAAATACTAATCATAACAGTCAGTCTCAGTGAGTTTCTTAGACTTAATGTAATAAAGGTCTAAAGAAAGAGTATAAAGTAGACACTTTTAGAGAAACATTAATTTGTAAAGGTCTTACCACATCAGCACAGCAATCATCCCATTCATCATCCATTTTCTAAAACAAATTATTATTATTTAGATAAAAGTGGCAGTCATAAATTTAATAGTACTATGAAATTGGAACTTGTGTGTAATTACTGGTATAGGAATATGGTATCTAGTTGCAAATCTTTAGTTTGGTAGATTTGTTCCCGGTAGGTACTGTAGGTGTACCCTACCTTGGTAGGTACACGCTCGTAGGTAAGTAGCTACGCTATGCACTTAGTTGTTTCAGGGACCTACCAAATGAAGTGATCTATAGTACCATTACTAGCAATATTAACTACAATATCGATATGACAGACATTTTTTATTTTATGGAAAGTGTAGGTATCAATGAAAAATTCGTTGACGAAGGTAAATTTGAATCTGACTAATTTTAACAAGTTAAGCAACGTTTAGAAAGTAGGAACTTGCTTAAATAACACAGGAAGCTATACAATATCGTTTTGCTACTGTTTATTAATAATTCAACAAGAAAAAAATGCTACAACCGGCACCGGCTTTTGTCAACCATTCGCACGTGCTAAAAGAATAATATTTGAGTAGTGGGTGCTTACACGACAATAAAATGAATTACAAAACCTATTGAAAAAAAAATTACTTACATATTTGTAATTTGCGTAGTAACAAACTCAACTATCCGAATTAGAATTGAACAAAGACAGCAGCCGCCAATTACGCCAAACGCCAGCAGCAAGCAATGGCGGAAGCCAATAAAAAGAGTTGCCAGGCTAAATATTTTTACCAACGGGATGCACTCGTAAAAAATGTTGTGAATTTAACAAGACAAAGAGGTTACTATTAAACTATCTTATTGGGGGCCCTAGGGCTGACGTTCTTTTTCTTACCAGGGCCTCTAGCCAAAAACCACTTTAGCGCTTGTCTACAGAGAGAGTAGAAATCAAAATGTATGGGGATGACACTGACAAGTGTCAAAATTTACGTCAATTCCATATAATTTGGTTTTCTATTCTACATGTAGACAAGCGCTAAATGGCATTTGGCTAGCACTGCTGATGGAGCAAAAAGAACAAATGTTTGTCCAATTACAGAAGCTGTCAAATAATAAACTTCTAATGGTGTGACATTAACTGTTTCCCTATTGGACGAAGAATGAGAGGCTCACACTAGCGTTATCTAGTGAACAATAATACAGTAGGCATCCCCTATACTTATTATACTACAGATGGGGCCCAATAGGGCCGATGCCGATTTGGAGTCGCGGAGAACCTAACGGGTAACCGGGGCTCCGGATCGACGTGCAGGAGAAGGAACGGGGTGGTTTTTAGTCAGTAAGAGTCTGACACTCCCTCCCGCCTCACCCAGGCGGGAGCAGTCATTCAATGATTTTCCCCCCTTAAAAAAAAAAATACTTATTATACTCTTTGCAGTAGGTGCCATTGACAGGTTGACAAAATTAATGTTAGGACTGCACGGTTGGCGCGGTGGCTGCTACGCAACGTGTCGCGGGTTCGATTCCTGCTCGGAACAACTCTTTGTGTGATCCACGGATCGTTGTTCCGGATCTGGGTGTCATGTGTATGAGAACTTATATGTTCGTAAAAACGCACCCACGACACAGGAGGACAGAACCAAATCCTAGTGTGTATCCTAGTATAATATAAATAATATCTGATCTCATAATATTTTTAATAACAATGTCAGTTAATATTATTATGGTGTATGTTGTAATAGTTTAATGTTTAATGCTAATTAAACCTTATCTATTAAAAGTTACTAAACTAAAAAGTAAACATTGATGCTTTATACTAGAATTACATCGGTACTGTCATGTGTCAACAACCTACTGTCAAGTGTCAAAAAACCATTCAAGCGCATTACGGGAAAATAACACAAGTGACCGAAAATATTCCGAAGAAAATACTACGCCGAATAGAAGAATTTGCTAACGTTATAAATAAACATCTTTATCTTTATGAATTTGGTGTATATTTCAAGTTCTTTTATGAGTGAGAGCGGTGTAAAATGTTTTTCTTCGTAAATATAGTGTTAACGTAACGATGCATTTATCAAAGTGGGTTTAAGTCTTATCTCTGTTGGCGTCCTCTTGTTTTTTATGGTTCAAGTTCACAATGGCAACAGTCGAAGAGACAGTTAAAGTGGCGGTGGTGACTGACCGCTCGCCGAATATCGTACGATGCTCCAGTACGATGACTGCGGAGGAGTTGTGCATTATTTTGTGTAAAAAGTATAAAATTCCTCCTCTTACTCGGACGCTTTTCGCGTTACGAGTCAAAGGTAGAGATTATTTTCTCAAAGATAACGCTAAAGTGTTGTCCAGCACCAGAGATTATGAGCTTCGAATTCGTTTCAAGGTAAATACTGTTTACTAAAATGTAAAGAATCAATCTTGCAGTTGTGTAGAAACCAGAGTGCATTAATTAAATTGATGAATTATTAATGTGAAGTAAAAGAGCAAGGAAATGTCTTAGAGTATGAAACTGTTTGGTTTCTAGACAAGCGACTTGATTGAAATTTACTGTATAGCCTATTTATTACTTACTAATAGAGAACAGAAAATAATACAATGAACAAAAGAAAAATACATCAAAACTTAGCATTTATTTATATATCACTAGCTAATCCTGCATGGTTTCACTTGCTCTGTTTTGGCTTCTATTGGTTGCAGCATGATATTTTATAAGCCTATAGCCTTCCGCGATAAATGGACTATCCAAAACAAAAATATATTTTCAAATTGAACCAGTAGTTGCAGTAGATTCGTGCATTCAAACAAACAAACCATTAAAATAAGAATAAGAGGTACAGTTTAAATCTTTTTCATGTTACACAACCTACTATTTATTCATATCATACAAGTACACCTTTGTAGGTAAATATGATAGTGTTTCATTACTACTCCAAGTAGATATAATTCATAATGAATAAGGTATAAAGTGGTGAATGAAACTAAGACATTATCGTCAGCTTATCCAATGCTCAATGTTTATAGATAATATTTTATTCATAATACCTATTTAGATTTTACACTTGAAGTTGAAAACAATTCATACAAAAATATATCAATCAATACACTTATTTGTATCTATATCAACTTGTAAGTACCTACTGAATAACTACTGCTTTTATTTATATGGCCGGTTATGAGTCTCATGCCATAAGCGGCCACCCTATTGTCATAGAAAGAGTTTTTTTTTAATTAAATCTTTTTCATTCATCCATTCATAACCTCATGTCTATCTCCCATAGGGGTAGACAGAAACTATGGAATACCAACTGCCACGATTCTTACATACCTCTATCGCTTCCACAACAGTCATTAGTCTTTTTGTACCTATATATACCAATAAACCTATTTATACGTAGGTCTTTCATAACATTACTTTATATAGTTGATACATATAATATGATAGTTTTTGAGTAATATACTAACATATACTTTATGACATAACTTTGATTATTGTAACATGATAAGCAAAACAGGCGTAACAAAAATTGGATTATTTATGTTTCTTCAGCTTCTTAAAAACTGGTTAAATTGAATTTATAAATTATAATAACACTTCATATTAATAGCAAAATTGATAACTATTTGATATTTTACTTCTATTAACCCCTCGAGCATTCTTATGAGCACCCGGTGGATCATAAGAAAAAATGCTCCATGCTGCTTTGTCTTTTATAAAATCTATTATTAATGTTTTGTTTTTATGTTGACTGTATTTGTTGTATTTCTATTGTATGATCCTTGTTTTCGTGTGGCAATGGCCAAATAAATGCATTTTCTTGCATGCATAAGAATAAAGAAATTCATAAGGAACGCGGATGCTCGACGGGTTAATAAATATTAAATTGTATATATGCAAGTTGATTTTCTCTATACAAATAAATAAAATATTATTTGTGAGATTTTAAGGACTGAATGTATGACCAGCTGTACTCAACGACGACAAGGGATTCTTAATATAAGTGGCAGAAAGTAGGAAAATACAAGGTGTTATGAACATACAAGGATTTATTTCACTATTAGCTTCTGTCTACATTTTCGTTTCCTGCTCACATAGGATTTTCGGGAAATCCTTAGATAAAAATTATACTATGCCTGTCTCCTAGTTTCAAATTACCTCCTCACCAATTTTCAGCCAAATCGATGTAACCATTCTCAAGTCATGCTTGTAATGTGTTGTCATCTGTAATATTGTCTGCTGTATGGTGTACACGAAACAATAAATAAATAAATAAATATAACAACATGACTTTTTTAACTAAAATCGCGGGTTACTCACGTGAATATACCGAGAAAAGCTCTACTAGTACTACGAACCACAGAGGGATTCCTCCTCATGAGTACATTCACGTGAGTAACTCGCGATTTTAGTTAATTTAGTATGTCTCACGATAATTATTATAAAAACACGACTTTCTTAATCAATTTATAGATAAATGTTTTATAAATGTATGTATTTTAATAGGTGCCGAGGCTGGAACTGTTGATAACTCTAGATGAAACAACATATGACTACTACTTCCTACAAGCAAGGAGTGATGTATATGAGAATAGAATTCCTGAGATCAAATACCCTGAACATAAGAAAGAAATGCTTGGTCTTGGGATCGCTGACATGTAAGTTCTTTATTTCATATTCTTATACAAACTTAAGGATAAAAATTGATAGAAATTCAATTTATGTTTAAACTGTCTTAGGTATAATTTACCTAGTTAGTAACTATAATGTAGGTAATAAATTAATAATGCTATGCCTACAAAAACTAATTATGTATTCAATAAATAAATTTACTGTATATTTAAATGATGATTTGTGGTAATATATTACACAATGATACATTTCATAATGTGATACCTATTGTGTAAAAAATTAACTGATTTATGCTTCAGAAAAAGTGACAACTTTTTATCATGTGTTAGTTTTTTTTACTCATAATATTGACATAAAGTAAAGACCATAAAGAAAGTAAAGACCAAGTTTTAAACATAATTTTATGAACATAATATATCTGTGACATATTTCTTGTTACCTTTTTGAATAACTTAAAAAAGGTAGGAGGTACTATGTTCGGCTGTTTTAACTCATACATTATGTCTTATACTACAACCACATAATTGCAGTAGATCATAAATGATCAAGTATAATTCTATCTCACAATTTCATAGAACAATGGGCTATAAACATCTAATTACTCTGTCCATTTCTGTGAGACAATAGCCCTTGGTTATAACTGTTCAATTAACAAGTGATCTTTTTAATTTACATGTTTTAATGTTCTATGTTATTTTCCTTAACATGTTTTAGGCCTTATCGCTGTTTAATAATTTATTTGTCTTATTAGTAGGCATAGATATGTAGGTATGTTTAATAATTCTTTGACTACGAAATTGCTGTTTTGAACTCTATATAGTCTCTGATAAGCCTTAACTTTTTATACTACTATCTCCAACTTTCCAAACATAGAGATTATGCCAAAATGTCTTATGTAGAGGAGCACATGAATTATTACATCATCATGAATGAACAGCCTATAAATGACCTCTGTTGAGCACAGCCTCTTCTCACACGGAAAAGGTTTAATCACCACGTTTGATCAATCCGGGTTGGTGATTACAAACTAGAAATTATAAGCCAAGGTTTTCTCACGATGTTTTTCTTCACCGTTTGTCAGTGGTGTCTATATAACTCGAAAAAGTCACATTGGTACTTGCCGTTGGTAGGTTTCGACTCAACACCCTCATGCACGAGAAGCGGGCGTTTTAAACCTCCGGGCCCCCACGACATGAATTAATACATTACTCTAGAATTGGCGATGCAAGATTTCATTGACTATATGAGTGACCATGACCATGTGTCTAAAACACTCATAAGGATAAACTTAATAAAAAAACGACATTTATCAGAAATATTGGGTAATCTATACTCTATAGTTTAAACATCAAGATTCAGTGTCGCGTGACGTAATTCAACGTCCAGACTGGACAAATATATTTATGTATGTATGTATGTCATACAAATATTTATTGTAGTTCGGCAATGCGGCAATCGAACCCGCGACCCTGAGCGCGGAAAGTTGTTACTTCGTCGTATTAACATCTTTGTTAAATATCTTAAATTGGAGCTTGTGATATTTAACAAGTTTTCAAGGGAAGCAAATCATTACGTATTGTTTTTCTTTTATATTATTTACTAGTTGTTACCCAGTGGCGTTTCTATAGGTACTATTCGACGCCCGTGGGAAATTCATCAGATGCAAAGACATAAAACCAAAACGTTCAGGCACGACTATTTCGGCTGGCCCTTTCGGCCCCTTTCGGCTGGCCCTTTCGGCCCCTTTCGGCTGGCCCTTTCGGCCCCTTTCGGCCCCTTTCGATTCGTGCCATTTTGCCGACTTGCCACTCTCTAGTTACGCCACTGTTGATACCCATGGCTTGGCAAGCAGGGTAAAGTAACCATCTTAACTAATATCAACACAAAGAAGTCACAGACATCTTGAAAATATTGTAGCGCCATTTATTTATCTACATAAAATACACTGTATCAATAATGGGTACATCTTTCCTTGTGTGTAGGTTAGTTTTCTTAGGACAAAGTTACTAGCTTATATATATTCGTCTTTAAAACCACGACGATCATCGCACTTTTTTAAAAATAAGGGTAGACAAACAATCCATAAATATAGGTCATCGCACACGTACGTACAAGCACGGCTCCGGCACGGCTCGAACCCAGCAATCAACTTATCATTAAAATATGGACTTTAAATCGTATGTCGTATGACATATTTCATATTATCAATTTTAAAAAAGCTGTAACCTTTTTGTATTGATTCCAAAGCAAAAACACCGTGCCAGAGCCGGGCCAGAGCCGTGCTTACTAGGTGTGCGATGACATTAAGGCTCATTTCACCCACTTTCATGAGCGGCGATGATTGGTCACCATCAGGTGATGCTTGTGCTCGTTTTCCCCCTTACTCCAGAAAAACTATTAGCTGGGTAGCTGGTGCCGGCGACCCAGCAAGCAGCGCCTGTGAAAAGGCACTAATACCTACAGTTAGTGATTGTGCTGGATTAATGTCGGCACAAATACTACGTGAGGTATTAATAATGGTATAGGATACTTGCGGTTTTAATAGGTAGGAATGATTTTCCAATAGGTAGGTATACCTAGGTATACCTAGCTACCTAGGTATACAGTCTAGTCTGAATGTAATTTGTCTGTGTAGGAATGTGTTATATAGTTCGACAATCTACCTACAATACCTGTCCTTATTGGATTTTTCCTGTTTCTTTATGAGTAACTAATCACGATTTTTATACCTGATATTATAGTGGTATTAAGATTCTTGTGTACTTCTTTAACTTTCATCACATTTATGCATCCAGTTGCATGATCCAGACCTAAAGGTACACCGTACCATGTCCTTTCTCCAGCTTCTTTCTAATGAGTGAATCTCTATAAGTAGGGGTATTTTATTCAATATCATTTACTGTATCTCCTCTGTAATGCAGGTCTTCTTAGGCGGAGTCGATTGTTTACCATTAGGCGATCCGTCTACTGCTTTCCGCCTTATCCCATTAAGAAAGGCGGAACATAATTTATATCATACTGTGTAGATACATAGGAGTTGGTCCGGACGTCTACTGTCTGATATCATTTTATCTGTCAAGTTCTAAGTGCTTACAAATTGGAGGATGACAGGACGGTGTTGTTCTGTACTTTCCTTAACCAATTGTGACTGGGAAAAGGGATGTGCTCACTTACAGTTCAATTTAATTCGTTTAATACAGCTGACTGACATATTGCTTTGGTTATTATTCTTTATTAAGCACCTCATCTCAGTCGGGAGACCTCAGGATCATATACCAACATACCGTGTATTTTTATCTGAAAATCTCTTTATATCTCTGTTTAATGTCAGAAGGCAGTTCTAGTCTTATACGGAATATTTAAAATCATGTAAACAGTTCATAACTATCCATGCAGTTGGAAAAAGGCCATCAGGATGAAAGATTCTCTCTAGAATTAGTGTATGGATTTGGTCGGTATATTTTGTTTCTGTCGGCATAAAACCGATAGCTCCTTTGACGACATCAAAGCGCATCGCGTCTGATCTATGATTATGCTAATTACTACCTACTAGAACATATTCAAGTCTCGGATCTCCAAAAATAGCGAGTTTTACTATATACATTTATTGTAAGTACATGTTTTTTATGCAGGACACGCGCCACGGCCGAGGAAAAATTGTCGGTAAACGATGTGGTGAGGGATTACAAAAAATATATACCGAAAGTGATCGTTAGAAGACATGGTCACGTCGCCAAGAAACACGCTCACGATCAACTACCAAAGCTATGTTCTGTCGGCCACAACGTGAAGTAAGTACACAAATACAGTACACAGACTACATTACACAGATGCGAACACTATTTGCCGCAACTTGTTGCCTTTTTTGTAAACACATTTTTTATTATACGTCAACACAATGGTAACAAAAGGCCAAGATTGTATCACTGGTCAGATGTTTGCATCTGTCTACAACTGCGTCCAACAATTAGCTTTTTTTATAATTATGGTTTGGTCCTCAAAGGGTAGGTAAAGTAACGGGATTATATAAGGCAGCACGCTTTCTTAAAGAACAAACATCGATAACATTCTTTTAAACGTTCATGTTGATACCTCCTTTGTTTTTTTATGATAAAGAACGCTTAGTTTGGGAATCTGATTTATCTACATCAAACTTTAAAATAAAGCTCTCGTGAGGCGAGCTAAATTTACTATTATGTTTATTGGCTTACTCACGTAATTATTTGACGAGGAACTCGATTAGTTTCATGCCATGCTAAAGGCTCATATTCATGAGCAGCATTCCGCGACCCGTGATGAGGCGACTGTCGCGCGACATAATAATTCCGTGAGTAAGCCGAAAAACAAAAAAAAACTATCATCAACAGTTACAAAATCATGAAAATGACAATACTAATGTCGGGGATAATCTATACTTATAATTATATACTTATTACTTATTTACTTATATAATATTGTAAAGCTGAAGAGTTTGTTTGTTTGTTTGAACGCGCTAATCTCCGAAACTACTGGTTCGAATTGAATATTTCTTTTTGTTTTGGATAGTCCAGTTATCGAGGAAGGCACTATATAACATCACGCTACGACCAACAGGAGCAAAGATATAGTGGTAACTGTGTAAAAAACGGGAGAAATTATTTCATCTTTGAAGCCTTCCGTTGCGTGCGCTGTGAAAACTATTCAAGATACACAAAAAATATGTATTAAAGAATAATAGCTCTTTTAATGATCATACACAAAAAATATGTATTAAAGAATAATAGCTCTTTTAATTATCTAAAAAAAGTCCCCGACAGTTTATGTCTATCTTTTAAGATTAACTCACAAAAACCGTACCTAATTTGGTCGAAATAATTTGTTTAAGTTGTATCAACATAATAATATTAATCTTTATTCAAATAAATATGTTATTGGATAGTAGCGTTGACGAAATAAATGATATCATTTTGAGTAAACTCCGAGGAGATATTGTAACCTACACATTCATTGATACCGTGATGGATCAAGAAGATGTAGTTCATTACCCACAGGAGTTCCTCAATTCCTTGAACCCAAGCGGCCTTCCCCCACATTCTCTTAAGTTAAAAATAGGTGCCCCAATAATTAAACTAAGAAATCTCAAATCACCAAATTTATGCAACGGGACCCGACTTCAAGTAAAATTTCTGCGCAATAACGTCATCGTTGCAATAGTTTTGACTGGTCCAGCAGTTGGTCGAACAGTCCTCATACCCCGCATCCCAATGATACCCAACGACTTACCTTTCAATTTTAAAAGAATACAATTTCCGCTTAAATTATCTTTCGCAGTCATAATAAATAAATCACAGGGGCAAACATTCAAACACGTGGGGATCGATTTACGCCAAGACTGTTTTTCGCACGGCCAGTTATATGTCGCGTTATCAAGATCGGGTTGTGGCGAAAATCAATATGTTCTTCTGCCACAAGATAATAAAACACAAATGTAGTATATGCAGTAATGTTCTTTAAAATAATTTAATTTACTTTAAAAATTGTACAGTTTGGAACTCGAAAAAAAAAACAGGTTTTATCCTGAAAATTCTACGGGAACTCGACCATTCCGAAAATCCCGCAAGAACGGGAACTATGTGGGAAGAACCAAAAAGTCACTATTCCACGCGGACGAAGTCGCGGGCAAAAGCTAGTTATCTTATACTTCTTATAGGTACTATCATATAAAGCAGAAGAGTTTTTAGTTTGTTTGTTTGACCGCGCTAATCTCCGTAGCTACAAGTCTGATTTGAATAATTCTTTTTGTGTTGGATAGCGCATTTATCGAGGATGGCTAAGACTATAAAACATCACGCTACGACCAATAGGAGCTGAGCAGAGTTTAGTAGTAGCTAGTTTTATGATATTAGGTTTATAGTTGCTAGAAAATGAGAAAGCGTCCAACAAAGAAGAATAGAATCTGTTCTTTATTGAATCAGAGTCACGTTCCGAATACATTCAGATTTAACAATCTATTCACTTCTTTTTATTAGTTTTTATTTTTAACCTCATTTACAATTTCCATTAGTTAATATTGGAACAATTTTCAGCTACATAAAGAACCTATACCTACAACAATTATACATAATGGCGCCCAACTATTTGGCGGAGGAGTATGACAATGTTCTATGGCAGAACGGCAACGATGTGACTCCGGTGAACGTTGTGGTTGCACCTTTCCACCCCCACCAACCCGGTATAAGGATCTTCAATACTGTTAAACGGGAAGTAAGTATTAAATGGTATCTTATTTTCTTTCTTTTTTTTGTCATTGATGTCGTAAGACTAGACGGCTATGGCACTAGAAAGAAGAGAAGAAAGAAGAAGAAAGAAAAACCATTTATTTCTGCGCAAAACACACATAACATATTTAAAAAATAAAAAAGAAAATAAAAAAAGCTAAAAAATTAAAATGAAGTGAGATCTTGTCCATGGTCCACAGACCTATTATTTTACTGAAATGATAGAATTAAGAATATTTAATATCTAATATTATCTGTGGACCATAGACAAGGAAACACCCCACTACATATTAATTATTAGTTTATGTACACAAACAACACAGACAAGACATAGAATTAAAATATAACAAAACAAAGGTACATAAGTACTGCATATCCCTTATGGGATTTCTTCCTGCAGCCCTGCGAGAGGAGAAATAAATACAACATAATAAATTAATAACACATTGTGTAACAAAAAAAAAAAATCCAAATGAATAGCAGACAATGACAACTTAAACCAACAATTAAAACTACTTACAAAGTAATCAAAATAAAAACACATAATTCACAGAGACCTGGTAGCAGCGCTGTCTAATAAACCGTTTTTCTTAAGCTACGAAATCCTACTCGCCTGGCATACATGGAGATTATGGCGAATCCCTATTTTGTAGAGGAGACCCATGTGATAGTCAAATAGTGAACTCTCTCGAGCTCATGATGATAGTTACTTACGCTTCAATCGTGTTAGGCACATGTTTGCTAAGCCAATAAATAATAAGTGTTTTTTATTGAGTTTTGTTCTCTTTAGAGTTCACTCTCGTAGATACAGTATACTCATACTGCCTATGTTTATATAATAATATACAATAGGGATGATGACAGGGTATGAATATTAAAAATCTAATTAGTCCGTCAATTAGATAATGAAAAAATATTAGACACGTATTTTTTTATTTTGTTGTAAAATAAAATGATACTTAGATAATATAACGAATCAAAGTTTAGGAGTGTGGGCTAAAACGTCATTATTACGTATAAAATGTACATAGAACGACATTTCAAATCAATATCGTCGAAAGTGTTGGTTTTTATAAAACAAAATACGTGTGTAATATTTAAAAATAATCTACCAGCCGGACATTAAAATAAAAATTAGTCATCTACCCTATTATAAATGTGGTTGGCCAAACAATAATGATAGTCGTAATTTTCTTGGATTTTAGCTCTCAATATGATAATCTCTGAACTCTAGATAAAATTAATTATTAATCAAAGTTTTAGTATTCAAATTGTTATCTCTACGTATTGCATATGGTAGGAAATGTTTGCAAAATAAACTAAGATAATTGCTTTATTTCAGTGGATCCACGTGTGTAAAATAGAAGAATTAATTTATATTACAAGGAATGGAGAAAATTCGTTGGAAATATCTAGAAGAGGGACTCCGCTGTTCTTTAAGTTTAAATCTGAGGAGCATATATCTTCGTTTATATCAGTTTGCGATGGCTATTACAGGTAACTATTAAACTTTATTTTACATTAGCATCAACTGTGATACATATTAATATAGTCAGATTTTTTTTAGGGGATAAGCCGGTAAATGAGCAGACGGATCACCTGATGGTAAGCAATCGGCGCCGCCCATGGACACCTGGAACACCAGAGGCGTTACAAGTGCGTTACCGGCCTTTTGGAGATTAGGAGTTTAAGGATCGTTGGGATTCAGGGATTGGGGAGATTGGGGAAGGGGAGGGTAATTGGGCCTCCGGTAACCTCACTCACACGACGAAACACAACGCAAGGGTTGTATGCACGAATTTAAAAAATATTTCAATTACTATTGAGATTTTTCCCGATTTTTGCCCGGTATATGGCAATAGGCTCATCCCCTATTAAATGGGACTCATATTATAAATAGTAAAAAGTGAGTTGGGGTTACATTGTGCAGTGGCATTAAGTGCCGCAATGTGCACCTTTGCCTACCCCTTCGATGATAAAAAGCGCGATGTTGTGTGTAATTTTTTAAATCTTTTATTGTTTTATTAGCCTACACAAATAACAATATTTATTTCCTTAAAATGCATGTAAATTAATAATTCGCCCATGAACTTTTCGCTGTCCATACAATCAATAATGTGATTTATTATTTAAAACAGATTAATGGTGAAATGGACATTTAACTTGTCTAAAGACGACGAGACACCGTCTCTGAAGGAGTTGCAAAGAATAAAATGTCACGGCCCGGTCGGGTAAGTACTACAGTATAACAACACAACGGTACGCCAGTAAAAAGGGGTACATATTTAATGTAATTGTTACCGAGAATTATGTTTTAAAAGAAACTTTTAACTTTGTAGGGGCGCGTTTTCATATAGAAAGTTGGAAGAAAAACGTTCTAAGAAACATGGTTGTTATATATTGAGACAGTGTCAGGACGATTACAATGTCTATTATTTAGACGTATGCACAAAAAACAGGTAATTATATATTATTTTTAATAGCTTATATGACGCGGGTACTTTTTCTGATGGCGTGGCGGCGTGAATAAAAGGAAATGCACCTCATTTTATTATTATTATAGGCTATAAATAATTATTACGTGTTATCCCATAATATAACATATTGTGTGACCATTAAACATGATTATTTTAATAATAGTAAACTCACTTTTATTAGTTGCATTTATAAACAAGGTAATTTAAATTATGTAATTGAGTTGTGGACTGGAAAATGATGTGGATTTACCATTTACATTACCTTTTCTCTTGCGGCATCGCCCGTATGAAATTTAGAGATTTTGCTCGTTTCGTTTCCGATCCTATAAGAAAGATTCTGAAAGAAACTAGCTTATATGGCAATTATGGAAAAGATTAAATATCTAGATGATTATTTACTATGAAAGTTACGCGACCAAGAATCGATACTATCGATAGTAACAATTTGGTTCAGTATTTTCTTTGCTGGCTGATTCCCAAGTAGGTTGGGATTGGCACTCAGATTCTCAGATTGAGTCCAGTTCAAACACACTGTACATTTATATTAAATTATTGTTTGAGTTTAGATTTTTCTATTTTTGAGTAACAACTTGAGTCACCGACGTTGCCGCACACTGCTCATCAATAAGGGTCCCGATGTGACTTGAAATTAGTAGAGTTAACCAATAAGTCGTATTTTTAAATAATTTGGAATTTCTATTTGCAGCACAACAGAGACTTATAGAATAGAATTTAAGGGTCATTGTTACGTGGTGAACAATGAGGAGTACTATAGCATCGAGAGGCTAGTCGGATGCCACCAGAACCCAGAAGGCAGAATATTCTTAAACGAATGCATACCACCGTCGGAATATGGTAATTATATTGTCTATATTCTTATGTTAATGTAATATTATAACGGTTATTTCCTTGCGCATCGCCACGTGTAGAATATCTTCGTGTATCTTAATAATTAAATATAGTAAACTAGCGACCCGCCCCGGCTTCGCACGGGTGCATTACGCATGTATTATACATATAAACCAGCCTTAAGAATCACTCTATCAACTAAAAAAATCGCATCAAAATCCGTTGCGTAGTTTTAAAGATCTAAGCATACATAGGGACAGACAGACGGCGGATAGCGAGTTTGTTTTATACTATGTAGTCATAAATATTGAAAGTCATACAAAATTTAATGCAAATGTTATCCGCAAATAATACAGATGTGTAGTATAAACTATGACTACGTAATTGAATGAAAATAAACAATTAACAATATTAACGGCTCAAGGCAGTTATTATCTCAAGTTGAACATCGATGACTAAAAGGTTCGGGTTTATCAAAGAGCGCTGCTACCCGATTTCTTTAGTCCAGTTACGGCTACTGTCTATTATCTTTCTATATATAGCTTATGCTTACTAGAGATAAAATTTTGACAACTTTAATATATTTTATATGTCGTTTCGCTCTTGCCAGAGCGGTAGTGGTCACGTTGAGGCTTGAGCCACGTATTTGTGTTGGAGGCCTATACTGCCCTGATAAGCCGAAAAGCGCTAACTCAATCAGAGTAAGTTTTGAGAAAAACGACTTTTTGTGAATGGATTTTTCCCACCTTCAAACGGGGGTTAAAACTAATATTTTTAAAACTGTTAAAACTTATATAAACGTATTTTTTACTCTAGATATAACTGACAAACCTAAATTATCCATAAATGGCACCATTATACCTATTTTGATTAATAATAAAGGCTTCAAAAATTGAGATAAAGCTTTTAATCTTATTCTGCTCATAGAAAGTTCCATACAAAACGATGTTTTTTTAATTTTTGATGAATGATGATGATGATGAATTAATTCATAATAAAACTTCATTTAATATTTTTTTAACAACTTTATTAAATGTAGTCGCAAATTACAAAAAAAAGTTAAAGCAATTTATTTGCTTTCTATGAAATAAAATTAATCAAAAGTTGGTAGATCCCGCCAAAAAGACATTCTATTAGCAGGTATTAAACTGGAAAGAGATTTTAAAATATTGTTTTTTTTTGTTTGAGATATTCCTGCTGGTACTGTTTTTTTAGTTGGGGATGGAAGTTTGTCTAATTTTAAGAACTTTGTACCTACAATACTAGCAGTAATGGGTTCATTATCGAAACCAGTTCTGTACCTAATGTCAAAACTGCCTCTGTTAACTTCCACTTCAACAATGTCACTAATATAAGGTCGTGGTGACAACCGGGAAAGTTTGTATTGGGTCGTATAGTCTTGCCACTCATAAAAATCATCTATTGTCATTTTTTTGATATTTACATTTTTTCCAGCACTGTTTACAGCTTCGCAAAAGTCACCAAAATCATATATTTTATTTTTCATTCGCTTCATCGCCAATTCTACTCTATGGTGAAAAGAGTCTGCAGACATAAATGTGTGTCCGGCTTCGAAGTATTTAACAATAATCTTTTCTGCATTGACCTGATCCGAATTTATAACATAGATTAAAAACGAAAAAAACGTCCAGTTTTTATTTTGAGCAGAACAATTATCTACCCAAAGTACAATATTTTTCATATCCCGATAGAATAAAAGAAAATGATAATACGCACTTATGATTTCATCTTTAGATCGTCCAGACAATGCTTCATGCCAAAGTACAGGATAGATACTGGATTCTTTTGAACCTTTCTTAGCTCCAATAGGCACGAAACTTTCATTATATACAACAATCCTGTGAGTGAAAACAGTCGACTTAAACATATCGATTCTTGGTAGCATTATGACTTTTTGTAAGTCTGCGGAGTACACAATGGTATCAGCGTTGGTTAAGTTGGAATCAGATTGATATTGTTCTCTTGATCTCTTGGCTCTTTCTATATGACTTGCCCACCTAGTACAGCACTCACAGTCTTCCTTGAGATTGTCTTTATCATGCGTTTTATCGTGTAAATTGAATTCTTCACACAGTTCACATTCTTCGTGGCCCAATTTTACGAACGAAATATTTAAATCTTGCAGAACTTTTCGGTACTTGTCGTAAGAGCATGTGATCGAAGGATTTTTTTCTACGTAATCTGTATGTAGATGTGTAATCGACAAATCACTTGGCAAATATAACCGTTTGGGCGCGTGTTCACGTCTATAATGGGATATGCTGGGTTCAAAACTAAATATATGTGTTCCTTTATAGGACCATCGTCAATTTTGTTGTGAGGAGTGTTAGTGCATCTTTTGTCTACTGGAGCACTGACGGAGTCTTCCTTATTATTACCTAAAGCAGTCTTTAAAGGCTTGTCGTTAGCTGCATTATAACCCAAGGTAGTTAAAAAGAAAGTTTTGCATACTTTGCACGATGAACCTTGTGAATTTTTAAGAAAATAGAAGAAAGTAGTTTGTCTTCTGTAGTTAGTTGGAACAGATTCAATGACAGTTCTTTGTTTTACAGACTGGGAAGAAGTGTGGTGCAGCATGAAATCTTTTCTTTCTGTATCGCTTAAATTCCAAAACGAATTGTTCAATTGCTTTCGTTGCTCTTCCGGTATGTTTGTAATACATAAAAGCCTGCATGATGAAGAGCAGGGGGGTTTCACATTATGTTTCTCCCTTTTTTCTATAATTTTAGATATTTTTCGTTCTTTTAATGGCACTTCATACTTCTTTCTCTTTCTTATAGTCCCTGTTTTAGTATACGTTATCAAATCAACTGAACTTTCTTTATTTATATCGTCATTTTGTGTTGTATTTATTGCTCGTATTTCTTCGTTTTCTGTAGTAATTGTTTCTACGTTTTCAATATGTAGTATCTCATCAGCGGTTGTTTGCAATGTTTCCTCAACACACTTGGTCTTATTTAACACGGCGCACGCACTATCAACATTATCAACAGTATTATTCGAGATTGTCTCTTGATTATCATTTTGCGATACTACCGGAAGAAGCTGATGGTACGACACGTTACGCTCGTCTGCAATCGACATGTTTGGAATTGCGTTGTTTACATTCTGATCGTTATATTCTGCAATATTTGAACATATTATCAGTGATGGGCCATCAGTAGGACTAATATTATATTCACTGATGAGAATAGAGCCAGAAGTTAATAAATCCGAAGATTTAATCGAGATGTTATCCCAGTTTTCAGATTTCTGACTGTCTTGAATTTTATTAACGGTTTCAATTCTTGAAGTAGATGGTTCTGATGTAATATAATCTTCAGGAAAATAAACATCTGGTAATACATTTTGGCTGTTTTCAGCAAAATATTGTTTTGCACTGTCTCGTTGGGATAAAGGATAGCCATCATTTGAATCATCACTGCTAGGAAAAAAGTCTGGGTCGATATTCTGAATGTCACGCTTTAATTTCTTTGAACCTTTAAATTTTTCTCTCACAGTCTTATTTTTTTGTGCTAAGGCCATCATCATTTTAGAGCTTCTGTGCGACATGGCTGATCTGCAACAAACCAACAACTATTTACTTACTTAACTTGTAACTAAAACATAGATTTCGCTCAACTAGTTATGTAAAATTGACTTCTCGTTTTGTTTTTAGATTACTCAGGAAACTAACAAACCACAGATACGTGGATTAGTACGGTATGTACTTGATCTAGACTATTGACTAGATCGACTTTTACACTATTGTAAATAAAAACAGTGTAACCTATTGTGTTTTTACATATAACTACTCTGATGTGATGTGACTGATTGGTGTACTTACAGTCGATGGCACATAAAGAATATTGTTATACCTACACTTTTTTTTAAGGGGGGAAAATCATCGAATGACTGCTCTCGCCTGGGTGAGGCGGGAGGGAGTGTCAGACTCTTACTGACTAAAAACCACCCCGTTCCTTCTCCTGCATGTCGAGCCGGAGCCCCGGTAACCCGTTAGGTTCTCCGCGACGTTATACCTACACTACGAATACAACTCGTATTGCATGCCTGTTAGAGGCGGTCTAAAGGTTAACATATCACAATTGATGTGCAGTTGATTGTATAATTAACTACTGAGATGAACGCTTGCAATTTCGAAGTGTTGTTCTCGAAACTTCAAATTTGAAATTAATTTAACCTCAAACAAAGTGAGAAACTAGAGAATTAACTATGAAAAACTTACCTTGATATTAATACACAATAACTTATCACTGCGTAATTAGAAATACTGTATTTAATAAAGTTTTTCTTATTTTAAACACACTATAAAACGAATTTACTTCCTTCCGCAAACAAAACAAACAAAGAAATGATCGTTACTAATGTTTATCTTCATGTCACGACACGTTCTGTTGTGAAATGTAAGTGAGTGTAATCCTTATTGCTAAACATATTAAGGTCAATTTTAATTACCTATTATACTTAGGTATAGCCGTATCTCAAACCTTAGCGAACTAATAATACTCACATTTACTTAGCGTAAAAGCGCTAACTCCGGAACTTTTTCGAAACATGAACTTACCGCTTATTGGCTTAAAAATTTACTTAGGTTTTTGATTAACATTTTTAAGCATTTCTAGCCTACGTCGGTATAAGGCTATTGGGCTTCATAAAAAAGACATGCCGTCAAATCTCTTCGGAATTTAAGGAAAAATTGAGATATAAAAAAATTTCTTAGTGGTTTATTTTAATGTTTTAAATTAGATATCGCTATTTGTCTTATACCATTAGATTCGAAATTATTCTAGCTATGGAATGGTATAAAAAAAACTAAAAGGGGGTATCTCAGAGATAGCGCCTTTCGGCGTAGCAGGGCAGTATACTGCTTTTTTCACGATCTCCCGCCATCTCTTCCTGTTCGTTGATCGTCTGGCGCAGTCTGACACTGGGTTTCCTGTTGCTGATTTCACTTGATCAGTCCAGCGCATAGGCGATCTGCCTCGTGATCTGGTTCCCTCTACTTTCCCCTGATGATGTTTAGCTTACCTATCTCAAAATGGTGTCTATTTTATTCAAATGTCGAAATTAACGGATATATTGGATTGGAATTGGAACTGACCGTTACTTAGCTTATACAATAACCATGAGGAGAGTAGGTGATAGATGTATTTTTTTTTTATATAATATTACAGATTAAATCTCCACGGACTCTAGGTCCGTGCCCTTGTTAAAGTGGAAGGGAAGTAAAATTACTTCCCCTCCACATGGAATTATATACCTAGGATTTACAAAAAAATACAGTACACTATAAAACTAACTTGTTTTAATCTCAGTTCTAGATATCTTAATAGACTTTGGTTTGACCGTCTGTTGTTTTGTTCGCCAAACGTTTATGACCTTCCCTAGCAATATGGGCGAGGCTTCCAGACAAACAGACATGTGTCTCATTTAAACTACGCGATTACATATTAATCTCAGCTCGTTTTAAAGTCAAGATTTACGACTGTACTTTGTAATCGTATACAGTCATTTTGATTCAGTATTTTATGGTTGAATCTCCCGTTTTTATTAGTATACGGTGTAAATCCGTTCAATACGAATGTGATGTAGTTCAATATGTATGTTGAATTGAATTATTTTAACGGAATATTTCATCCGTGACCGTGATCATTGCAAAAGTTTACAACGAAAGTATCGTTTTTAATTTATAATATGTAGTTTTATAAAGGAATAATGGTTCTAGCGTCTTCATTCTTTGATTGTCGTATTATGTCTTATTTTGTTCAAAATTATCTATGTATTATGTCGTTAAAGTTTTGGTTTTTGCAAAGTTACATCGAAGCAAATATTCTTCCACGAAATACCCCCTGTTCGGGTAAATTGTAAAGTTAATAGGCTTTTTGCGGCTCCCAATTTATCATAATTATCATTATTTATTAGTTATCCATATATGTGAGGTGATGCACTCATTATTATTCGAAAGGGATTAATTAGTGTTGAAGTGTTGTAGACAAGTGTCTGCCAGCGACTTTATTCGCACAATTAGGTGATTCCCGTTTTCAGCTTTCAGAACAAATTAAACCCGAAATATTGCCCAGATGCAATAAGTAAAGTTGCATTAAAATCTATCTATTAGTTCCGTAGATTAGCATGCATATTAAATCTGCAAACAGATTCTATTTTGTGTAGGTAAAGTTGTTTTTATATCACCTGTTTTTAAATATTTCTTGTATAGTACAGACATATTTATTCACTATTTTCTTATGCCTATGTATAGATAAGTCACAATTACTGCTGTGTGGGGAGCCAGTGAAGAGAGGTGTCCGCATCGACCAGGCTGAACTCCAAGATATACTCAAGGATAACAAGAGCCCGCGATGTCTGCCCAATAAGGACATTCTCTTATACACGGGTATGATAAATCCCTAATTAAATTCACACCCTCTTAATTTAATGTCATGCTTTAATACGTACTTGGTTAATGAGATAATGTATAAATTAACTTTTTATTGTATCCAATGGAATTTTGATCTTTGTTGTGTTTAAGAAAGTGTCGTTTCTAAAGTTAATTAATCGGTTTAGCCTTAACTGGCTGTTTTAAAAAAAGGTCCGTTATCGTTTGACATTTTTTTTCAGCTGAGTGCCTAGTGCAAGTTTGTTTAACGTTAACACGATTGTAACATTACCGCGTTTAGCCGTCTGATTGGTTGATTAACTTGAAGCTGGCCAATCATAGCGCCGAACGTAATAAACGTGTCGATTGCATTAACATAAAATAAAGTTTGCACTTGGCACTCCGTTGTCATCTAAAAACCTTCAACACATTTAGCAATTATTTTTTATATTGTTTTTCTTATCCAAGTTATATTTAGATTTAGTCTTAACGGTTTTAATATTTGTCTTAGGTTCAGAAAAGATCGGTTCCGAGAATATAACGGCGACGTACAAAGCGCTGTGGAGGCTCGACGAGACCAAGAAGTTGGTGGTCGCTTTCAAAACTTTACAGAGAGAAAAGGCTAATGATCATTTGAAGGTAAGACCATTGGTACAGTTTGTAAAGTTTATTATAGCGAATGTTGATGTTGAAACAAGTGAATTTATTTCTGCAAATAGGCAACAAGGCAGCAATTTTACACGTCAATTTTATCAAGCGAACGATTAGGTCGACATTTCCTTCCTGAGAAGAAATGCCGAAACAAACTCAGAGGTCTGTCTCTTTAAAGTCAAGACAATATGTATAACAGATTATGTGTGAGAACCGTGCAAGTTCTTTCTGTAGTGGCCTTTTGAGGAAAGAACCAGAACAGTTTGAGCGGACCCGTTCTGAAGGCAGTTTGCATGTGTCGGTTTACAGTCGGCTCAATTAACAGGTGAGGCTGACTGATTCGACGAACAATACCAACCCAAAGAACATTTGCGTAGGCCGCACAAATACTCAAACTGTCAGAATATGGGTGATTAGAAAAGAAATGGTGAGGCAAAGTCTCGCACGGTCCTAGCACTAACAATTCGTTAGTTGATGGCTATTTACATTTCTTATACTCTGATTTATAGTATGTGTAGACTCTGATTTGTAGGGTACACTAAAGATGATGAGTTTTTTAAACGTTGCCCCACATTATGATTAGGATCGGACGCTAAATAACTCCCTTCGGGAATCTCCCCAATACCTGAATCCTCAACAATCGTCAAATTTCTAATCCCCCAAAGGCCAGTAACGCACTTATAACGCCTCTAGTATTTGGGGTGCCATGAGCGGCGCCGATAACTTACCATCAGGTGATCCGTTTCCTGGGTTAACGGCTTATCCCATGAAAAAAAAACTACTATAAAAATAATTAACTAAGGCCCTTGAAAGGATTTCGGAATTTCAATGTTTTAAATATTTTGTCTATTTCATTCAGCTAAATGTAGTTGCTTGTTTCAAAGTTTAAGAAGCACCTTGTTGTCATTAAGTCGTACTTAATTTCCTTAAGCAATAAAATTCCTTCCGTACGGAAAGTGTACACACAGTCAAGAAACATCTAATTGAATTACGTTTTCTAGGAAAAAGAACTTTGTTTATTCTAAAATTAGTAAGGATCATAATATTTGTATAGCAATATACAGTGACCAGAGTGACCTACTCTAACCTGTTAATTGGATTTTGAACTTTGTACAAAAATGTTAATGTTCAAAATGTAATAAAGATATTATGCTAATTAGTTATGTTGTGTGCTAGGATTTCGTGGAGTTGGCGAGTAAGTGGGCGTGTGTCCAGTCTAGTTCAATGGTGCGCCTATACGGAGTGACGCTCAGCTCACCTACCGCGCTTGTACTCGAGTACCTGCCCTACGGACCCTTCGACGATTATCTCAGGTAATTTTCATTTTAGTGGTGTTGGTGATAGAGTTCAGTTTTAAATGTTTTATTGTTGACTAGATTCGCTTATTATGTGTTTTTTTTTTTGGTTACGGGCGTCGATTTCTTGATCGTTGTAAATTTGTAATGATAACTACATACATGTAGTGTTATTGCTAATGTTGATTAAAACTTGTTATAAATCATTCAAGAAAAGGTGATTTACGACTATTGAAGAAACAAGATTTAATTTTAAATGACGTGAACTGAAAAATATTTTCCTTTAACAAATGTCTATCCTTGTATAGAGCCTATTCAAGAGTAGTTCATCTTCTAAAATCTGAATGATTCTAGTCTTAAAAGCTTTACACACAATAGTATAGTTTGTACTAATTTACATTATACATTACCTAATACACCCTAATTTAACATTTCTAGGGAGAACGAAGAGCGTATAAAGCCGCTTCACTTGAAGAAGGTCGCGGCAGGGCTGGCTCGTGCACTATGGGACCTGTCGGAGGCGGGTATAGTCCACGGACATATACGTTGCCGACGACTCTTGGTCGCCGCGCATTCTGGAGACCGCATCAATGTCAAACTCTCCGGACCCACGCTCTCACATTATACACAGCATGAGTAAGTACTTATTACTATGAGAAGTTCAAAAGTAAACCTTATTATGAATAAGAATAAAGTTTATTATCCTGTAAGCATTTGCAGGGAACGTTCAAATATAACATAACAAAATTTTGGATGGCTTTTTACCTTTCCATTCCTCTTTGTAAGGGCGTCATACCTAGGATATAATTGGGATGATGACGGGGTATGAAAATTAAAAATCTAATTAGTCCGTAAGTAAGGTAATGAAAAAATATTAGACACGTATTTTTTTATTTTGTTGTATAATAAAAAATACTTATCTAACACGCCATTTCAACGTATAAAATGTACATAGAAGTGACGTCACGCGACATTTCAAATCAATATATTATCGTCGAAAGTACGTGTCTAATGGTTTAAAATAATCTACCAGACGGGCATTAAAATAAAAATTAGACATCCACCCTATTATGTGAATTGAGTATTTAAATGCCGATACATAATTAGAAAAGCACAGAATTGCATATTCTTTTGGAAGAAGAGTAATTGTAAGCTATAATGATGGCAACCTCATAAGCTTTTAGACTCCCTTTTTAACGATTCTTCTTATATTTCTAGCGTGCATTGGATGCCAGTGGAATTCTTCTCGGACATGAGTATGGCGAAGCGGTCGGTGACGGGCGATATCTGGGCCTTCGCCACCACGCTGTGGGAGGTCTTCTCCTACGGACAGTCGCCCACTGAGACCAATCCTGTACTGACTGCCAGGGTGAGTGTTGTTTAGGTATCCAAATTTGATTATCAAAATAAACATATTTTACCAGCATTTAATATGAATTTGCTGTACAACACAGAGTTACGAGATGGGCGACCGGTTGCTCCGTCCGGCGCGGTGCCCGGGCGAGGTGTGGGCGCTCGTGCGCCAGTGTTGGCAGCCCGACCCACTGCGGCCGCAGGAGATCATGCGAGACATGAACCATATGCTGCATCGAGGTATATTGTCTATCTATTACACTATATATACTCACTCTAGTCCAGAACTGGCTATACTTTCTTCTTGAGAGCCGAAATAGTAAAAACATATCTCAACTTAGACGTTGGAGACTTATACTTCAGCACGGCTGAGAACCGGAGTGACGCCACGATCTTATAGAAAACCGGCGTGAAATAACGCTTGCTTTGTTTGTAATTACCGTAGGCCGGATCCGTCCCCCGTCCTCCGTCCCCCGTCCCCCGTCCCTCAAATCTCTCAATCCCTCAATCGTTCCTCCTCCAATCACTTATCCCTGAGGTCTTAGATCAGAATTAAGTATAACTATTGTAACAGTGTTTAATGTATTTTATTATTACTTACAGAGTATGTGCCAATCCACGAGTACGAAGAGCCAAAGATATCCCTTGAACATATGGAACACGCTGAGACTGTTTCAAGTAAGTAACAAACACGACGTACTTAGACATAAAGTAAATACATACGGCTTTGTTTACTAGTGGTGGTGTGTATGAACAATTCCAGATCCTGAATGTTAAATTACGTAAAGTTTCTTCTATAAAGTTCACTTATTTATCAATGTAGGACAAATAAATATGACAAATTATGGATAATATTATAAACTTTATTTACATTATTGTTGCAGGTGACAGGTTTATTCCGAGTGAGCTGAGCGACGCCGGCAGCAATAAGTCCTTAATATCAGACAGTAGTGTGCTCTCCATGAACGGAACCATGTCTGATCAATATGACAATCCAGTAAGTGTCTGTTTTAAAATGTTTGTAGGATTTTCTAGCGGACTAGAATGTATTCTCTGTAAAATATTATTAAATGGGTTAATAGTCATACTGATTCTCTAATTTGTTTTTATTAATTGACGATTCAAATTGGCAGTAAGCACGGACTTGACATTGATATTGTTAAGTAAGACACAGTAAAACCCTTTACTTATTTTTTTTTTATTTATTTAATATGCTTCATGCACAAAATGTACAAAAAGGTGGACCTAATGCCGCAGGCATTTTCTACCAGTCTGACCTTTGGGTGTACTTACAATTAAAGTTAAATTTTTACATTAACTTGTTATCATTCCACTTTCTAGTTTGCCGACAACAAGAGCTCGAACTCGTTGGAGAGTATGAACGGTCTGCCGTACGGGTTGCGCAGCGAGTTGCGCAACGAGTTGCGGTCGCGCAACAGTGGCAGCGTGTGCGCGGCGCGCGCGCTGGACGACGACGGCGACCTCGCGCCCGCGCCGCGCCTCATGGAGTCCATCGTGTCGCAGGGGAAGACCTACCTCGTCACGCTCACCAAGAAAATTGGCAGCGTAAGTCACTTCACTACATCATATAAAACAAACTCGCTATCCGCCGTCTGTCTGTCCCTATGTATGCTTAGATCTTTAAAACTACGCAACGGATTTTGATGCGGTTTTTTTAAAAGATGATTCTTAAGAAAGGTTTATATGTATACCTAATACATGCATATTGCACCCGTGCGAAGCCGGGGCGGGTCGCTAGTACTTCTATATTTTTTACTAAATTACATTACATTCATAATATTTTGTTGTATTGTAGACAATTGTTGAGTGCTCAGTTCAAACATTTCTTTTATTAACTGTTGATTTTCCAGTGGGAATGAAAAACATAGTATCTAAAAGTAAGACGTGTAAAAATGAAAGACATGTGTGAAACTTGCTGGGTATGCAGAGCTCAAACAACCTGTTGATCATTTAAAAATTAATTTTGTGTGACAATCGTATCGACTCGTTTTTCAGTAACTTTTTCACTATGATGCAGTAAAGTAATCGTAGGAAAAATATGCCTTTTGCAAAAAATTTTGAAATCGTCGGCTCTATTTCCGAACCGGTACGACCTTCAACCTTCAAAAAAAAGAGCGTATTCCTTTTTAAAAGGCCGGCAACGCACCTGTAACTCCTCTGGTGTTGCAGGTGTCCATGGGCGGCGCTGATCGCTTACCATCATGTGATCCGTCTGCTCGTTTGCCTCCTATTCCATAAAAAAAATCAACATTCGTAGGCGATTACTATATAAAAATGTATATTTGCAGGGTAACTACGGGCATGTGTTCAAGGGTTGGATGGAGCGCGACAACCAAGAATCTCAACGGAGAGAGGTGGCTGTGAAGAAGTTGACGAGACAGGCCTCCGAGAGGAACGGCACTCTATACGAGGACTTCAAGAACGAACTGGAAATTATGAAGGTATTTATTGTATTAGTTCTTATTCTTAAAATTAGGAAGTGTTGCCAGGTTAATAAAATGACAAGTTTTGTAGACATCAGTTTTATAATAACCAACATATACGTGGACGTGGTCTTATAGATACATCGATTTTTCTAGTCCACGAATCATCGCGAGAGCACTTAAATATACTTAAGTGAAATCAAAATCTAAGACAATGCTTTTAAAATGGCTCATTTTAGTAGAAAGATGTCATTTTTCACTTGATTTGACCTAAAAAGCGTGTGTATACGTTTGTTTCAGTCGCTACAACACATCAACATAGTCGAAATATTGGGTTATTCGTGGGACCACGGGTCGGACGTGCTCATAGTGATGGAGTATCTAGAGGAGGGCTCTCTAAACTACTACCTCAAGTTCCAGGGGGACAAACTAAGGATCTCACACCTACTCAAGTACGCGAGGGATATTGCTACGGTATGTACTGTAACTTCATTTAAATATGCTTTCTTAAAAGAAAAAAATAAATCTAGTTGCGATTCCAGTGTAGAAGAAACATTTCAATACAATAAAAAGTTAATGTTTTTATTATTATTACGTTTTTTAATGGCAACAACGACTTTTTATAGAGTTGTTTGAGTGTCGAAATTCGCAGTAAAATTCTGGAATCTGAAATGTGTCGTGCCGTGTAGGAAAATAGGTTATTCTTGCTAACCTTATGCCTTTCTCTTCGGGGATTAAAAGGCTCAATATCATTTCATGTTTTATAATTTAAAATTTAAACTAGTGAATCATGAAATTCTTTGTTCGAATCGAGATTTTTATTTGGATAATCTTTTTTTTCTTCAGGGTATGGACCATGTATCCGCTAAGAACGTGGTACACCGCGATCTAGCCACGCGGAATATTCTAGTCGTGAACAAATACCACGTGAAGATATCGGACTTCGGCCTCGCCAGGATTATACCTAAAGAAGAAAACGCGTACAGACTTAAGACTGAACGACTACTGCCTATTAATTGGTAAGACTTTTTTATAACCTATTATGTTTCGAATAACTTCTTGAAGTGCGACTTTCGTGCAAGGAGGTTCTATTCTCATATTATTGTTTTGTTTTTTTTTTTTAATTACTCAATAATAGCACGTAATCTAGAATAGTTACACCCACGGAATATAGAATACAATGGAAGTAGCAAGTAGGCGTAGCACGCGTGCCACAACTAAGCTGTGCAAGGCTTACTCGAGGCAAATTCGAGTTCAGTCTCGTTCGAACATGGCGTCGAGTTGCTAGTCCCGTGTCAAATACATATTTCCTCAACTATGCCGTTTTGTTACAATTTGGCGTGTAAAAATAATAGCAGCCGAAAAATCGTAAAAATGGAGGTGTTCCGTATCATCGGTAAGTACAATTTTTATTGTTTTCTTGTAGAAATCTTATTTTATTTCAATTTACAAAAACAGTTATTAATATTTACTAAAACGGTTAGTCAAAATCAACCTTACGCCTTCAAGATAAAGTTTATTTTGGATTTATTCCATTCAATAGAACATTCTCGCCAGTTCTACGCTACTCAAATAGTGATGTAGTCAAATCACATATTGAATTTATCGATTGATATCGATGCAAGTGTAATGAAACATTTATTTAGATTATTTTTTTATTATTATTTTAGTGGTGACCCCGACGTGATTGGAAGCAACCTTCACTTCACGGAGCAGATCAGCACCGTCATCCTTATCGCCATCCCTCTCATTTATCACATTATCCATATAAAGTTTGTAAAAATTTATGTAATAGTTGTTACTTATATTGCCTATGTGAAATAAAAAAAATGATTTTTTGAAAAAAGAAACTAATAAAAAATACGAACAAAATGGTTTTTGATTTACATGTAAATAAATACTTACCCTTTTTTGTTACGTTTAAAAAGTTATCAACGACATATTAATTTTATTATTTTAATACTGTCACACTATAGCAGTCAATATTTTTTTTCATATTATTTTTAAAACACATTTTCATATTATCGATATTATTTTTATCGAATTATCCTACATCACTATTTAGGGGGGTGCTTTGAAACTGAGGAGAGACGACCAACGGCAGTTTCTTAGCGGTAAACACGCAGACTTGTGTCTTAGTGGGGTTAAATTGGACCAAATTAAGTCCACCCCAATCAGAGATTCTCCCTAAAGAGGTCTCGATTTCAGACACGAGTCTGTTTCGGCTCTCTATGACGTTTTCCCGAGAAATGTTAGCGCGGCCGGTGTAGTAGGCATCGCCTGTGCTGTCATCCGCATAACAATGAATGCCGCTGATTTGCAGCATGCCTTCGTGGGTTAAAGGGCATAACTTGTTTTGTCTTGTTTTTTTTTTTTTAAAACGTTGTGCCAGGTCCTTTTCATGTGTCGCGGGTGCGTTTACAACCACACAAGTTCCCATACACATGACACCCAGACCCGGAGCACCAATCGTGCCCCCAAATTATTTTAGTCTAGCGTTATTTTAGTACTAAATTAGTGAATCCACTCCATTATTTGTGTACAGGTACGCCCCCGAGTCGGCGGTGGAGCCGTGGCACTTCTCCACCAAGAGCGACGTGTGGTCGTACGGAGTGACGGCGTGGGAGATATTCACGCGCGCCCGCCAGGAGGTGCCCAAGTTCAACCCCGAGCGACCGAGGGAACGAGCCTCGTGGTTTGTATACTGTTTATTTTGATAGAATGCTATTAATATTGAATTTTAGTTGTATAAACTACGAGATTATTAACCCCCTATTGATTATAGTAGCCATGATAATAGTCTATATATAAGACTGCCTCGTTGGCCGAGTGGTCGCAAGTGCGACTGCCACATGGTGTTATGATTATAGTCTATTTATAAGTCTTCTGCAATAAATGGATTATCTAATTCAAAAATAATTTTCAAATTCGAACCAGCTGTTCTAGAAATAAGCGCGATAATGACGACAATTATGCATATATTTACAGACAGTTATTGTAAATAGCCTATTTTTGCTCATTTATATACTTTTATTGCAGCTTTCAAATACCGGAGGGCTGTCCCTCAGAGATATTCAGGCACCTGATGAAGGACTGCTGGAATTTGGACCCGACCCTACGGCCGAAGTTCATCGACCTCGTGCATATGTGCAAGCGATTCATGGACGAATATAAGTAGAACATTTCTTTTGTTTATTTCTTCAATAATGAATTAATTATAAGAAAATAAGTTCCTTTTTCCTTTGTTCAAATCTGGAGGCTTAGTATTAGTTTGTTTTATGTGTAACGAGATCAAAACGTTACCGTGTACGGCGCTCTCATTGGTTGGTTCATTAGAGCCGGCCAATCAGAGGCCTTAGTACGAGTTTGTTCTACGTTTAAAGTAATCGTAACGAGTACGCGTTCGGCGGCCTCAGAGCGCGCAACGCAGTAACGTTTCGATCTTGTTACACGCAAAACAAAGTCGTAATAAGCCCTCTAGTAGTGACTTTGCAGCTTGAAATACGATTGCTCGTCTATATAACTTGCCTATACAAATAATTAGTGCATTATTGAAGAATATATCAAAATTGTCACAATATTATGAGAGAAAAGATTTCAGTATATTGATATATTTTTACGTAAAATAAATGTCGTAATGTTGCGTCTATGTATGTAGGGGTAAAGTTTTGGATTGATTCTATATTTCTGATGTTTATATCGTTGTATAGTTAGAGGCCATATTTCACACGTTGTCTTTGTTATTATTATTGCGCTATTTGCACAAACGGTACTAGCTAATCGATTGTTTATTAAGTATGTGTTTTTGTGGTTCCTCGAAGCATTTGCCTTAGTTCTGTATAGTAAAGCTACTTGTAAATATTTATACAAATGTTATACCCGTTACACTATGTAATGTATCTCAATCATGTGGAATCTATTATTCGTGTTTTCAGTGCAATCATTGAGTGGACGTCTTATATTCAGTAATGTATTTTTTGTTATTGTTCTTGTCCTAGTGTTTGTATATTGTATTATTTTGACTTGACTATGATTTTGTATCGTTAATTTTGACGTACTTGCCGTGTATTTGTGACTAAATGATGAGTCAATGATAGTGTAAGCAGAGTTATTATAACATTGTGTAAGCAAGCAGTGTAAGTCTCGCTAGTCCAACCATTCTAGAACTGTAATACTGGCACAAATGTTTGAACAAATATTGGCGTTGAATGAATTTGTATGCATTTCAATACTGCAATTAGATGACAACGAAATACTAACACGCACACGTTACGTAGAATGGTCGCCGAGACCGATTCACTATAAAACCAAAGATGATATTAAAATATGAACATTAAACCTAGAGATGAAATAATTTTAAGATTTTATTATCTGTGTACATTTTTTTAATTTGCTTTATTGTAAGTTATGCAATTCACTGTTGTGACAAATAAACGTAATTATAATTTAAGTTAGGTACAAAAATGTAATCGGGTAATGAGAACTAAATGTAATATTATTTTAGAAATTTATTATTGTTTAGATATGATTGGGAAATATTTTATAAAATTGTTTTTTTAATTATTAATTTTCGCTACATCGCGTGTCGATGTGTTGAGGAATTGGATTGTGATTACATAGACTGACAAATGGAGTATCGGTGCTATAAGGATGAAATAACGCCTTATTTTTTCTAATGACTGCGTTTGGGTGGAGATGGGAAAGATCTAGGAGTCGATAGTCGTAGAGATTTAGTTCCTACAGAACTATTATAAGATTTATGGAACGAGACGTGAACTTTATTGTGTACCTAATTTTTCTTAAATCAAAATTGCCTATATTTTGTTTTATTGGATGTTTTTTTTATTATATATTTTTAAAGGTTTTCGAATCAATCAGCTCAACTTTATATTTGGGAATCGCTCAGGCATAGACGTTTTGTTTGGTTTCACTTGTCTGTTCCTACCATTGTTCTTACAATGTATTTAATCAATATACCGTTGCTTTTTAACGGTTACTCAGCTTTTTCTATACATATCTTTTTGTGTAACTGGAATTCTATACCAATTATGATTTTGTGTGGAAGTTCATAGTAACAGTTACTCAAGATAAATATTGGACACTGAGTTTGTACTCTACTACGATACGATTTATATATTTGACGTGATGTGGTTGTAATATCTGTGTATATCGTATACGCCTGCATTGTAAATTACCCTAATACATAGAATTAGGTAAGTAATTCGTCGGGCTTTCCCGTCTTATATATGTTTTTGCTTAATACGCATAAAATTGATGTCTATCATTCTATTGAACGTGTCAATTTTAAAGTCAATTGTGTAAAATTAACAATAGCAATAATTGGTTAAAACTAAAATCGATTTTTCATTTTTAAAATGTCCAGCGTATATTGTAGAGTCAACTGCAGACTGCACGGTTGGTGCGGTGGCTGGGCAACCGGCTGCCGTGCAACGTGTCGCGGGTTCGATTCCCGCACGGGACAACACTTTGTGTGATCCACAAATTGTTGTTTCGGGTCTGGGTGTCATTGTGTATGTGAACTTGTATGTTTGTAAACGCACCCACGATACAGGAGAAAATCCTAGTGTGGGGCAACGTTTTTTTTAAAAAAAAAAAAAAAAAAAAAAAAAAAAAAAAAAATTAAAATCTGTGTGTAATATTTTTTCTGTAAGTACTGAGTAGGTTCGGTGTGTAGCTAAACTCTGCCTTCACCATGAGGTTAAAGCCAATAGTTATTTGCCAATACATAAAGCGTTGACGTAATTTTTATGTACAGCGCCTCTAGCGGTAACATACAGAACAAATAATTAGCATATAAAAAAAAATGTTCATCGTCACTATCGAGTATTGACAAATACTTACATTAAACTCATGGTAGAGGTATTAGTCTATGCCCTTAATTATGTACCTTTATGGTATACTTTATATTGTACAGAGCGAAGAATGAAATCTATATAAACAGTGCTATTGTTCTCCAAAGCTCATGAATGTAATGACGACGGAATTTGACGTTAAATGTGGCGCGGTCTAAGTACTGGATACATGTAAACTTGTTTGAAAATCTAGGAGGCAACTATGTTATAATATTGTAGAATAAAGTTTACATGTAAAGAGTATTTTCTTACAAAAGTTAGTCACAACAACTAATTGAAACACGTTTATAAACATTCTCTTGCCGTAAGTTTTTATGAAAAATTGTCGCATGGTCGTCATACTAATTATGAGGCATCCGTTTTATCACGAATATGCTTAAAATGTTGCTGTAAATATTAGTTACATTTTATTAATTAAGTCAAATTTGTTTTATTATAATTTAAGACTACGATGTGTCGGTGTTTCGTATGATAATGTTTTAAACTGTCCTACGTACTGGCCAGTTACAAATCGGTTTGTAACCGTCATTCATTCGTAATTTAAATTGCATGCAAGAATGTAACAATGTAGCATTCGATGCAAAGTTATTTCTTTTTAAAAGAACGTTCATTAGGCTCTGGTAACATTATTACATACTTGTAGGTATTTTTATGAATTTAATACTAAAAAAAATTTACATATAAAGGTAACATTATACTCCCTTAGACCCGGATTATTCAGCTGTAATGTCATACCCACCTACACAATTTCTTGGAATATTTACTTTTAATGTATTTTAATGATTTGTATAATTATTGTACATAGATAAAATATTGTGTATATCGTGCGAAACAGCGACACATCCATGTTATTTTTGCCATGAAATTAAAATAAATTATTGGTACGTGAATATAATATGCTTTTTAATTTATCTTCCCACTTAACTGCGTCTATATGAGACATTAGTCTCATGGTCTTTCAAAGATTACATCATATATAAAATCACTCATTCTATCCCCTAAGGGGTAGGCAGAGGTGCACATTACGGCACTTAAAATGCTACTGTATACCTCGTGTGTTCATAAGTTTTGAGACAAATTAAAAGTTGCATATCTTTTTAAATAATAAACTTATATTTATAAAAACAATAACAAACATTAAGTAGATAGTAAGTAAAAATTAAATATAATTATTATTCAAAATGACCACCCCTGTTTTAAATACATGCCCTTAGACGATTTGGCCAGTCATCAATGGCGGCACGAATCTTTTCCAGAGGAATTCGCTTCGCTTCTCGGACAAGAGCTCGCTTAAGTGACTCCAAGTTTGGGTGGGACTTTCGGCAGGCTCTGAGCTCTAATTCGGTCCATAGAGAATAATCCAGCGGGTTGAGGTCGGGGCTGGAGGAGGGCCATTCGTTCGCCGCAATGAAGGCCGGCACATTTTCCTTCAGCCAAGCTTGGGTGGTTTTAGCCTTATGGGATGGCGCCGAGTCTTGCTGGAAAACCCAATACTTGTTATGGAATAGGGTATTAGACAGGGGTTTCACAACAGTCTCTAGAATGTCACTTTGATAATTTTTGGCTTTCACCTTGACGCCTTGTTGGCAGAAATGAAGCTGAGTGACACCTTCGTACGAAACTCCCCACCATACCATGACACTAGCCGGATGATGAGTACGCGAGACATTCCGTGCTGAAGGTGGGACATCCTTGCTACTTTTGGCATACACTTTATTGTTTTGTCGATTGAACTTTTCTTCGACGGTAAAGATTTTCTCGTCGGTGAAGAGTATCTTCCTCGCATCGTGTCTCCTAAGCAGTATTGGACAACGTTCGCGTCGCAATTGACGAAGGCGATCGTTTAAAAAGTGTACTTTTCTACGGCTATACGCCTTAACCTTGAGATCATATTTCAGTATTCTGTTGACTGAAACGCGCGAAATATTGGTCTGCAGAGCGAGTTTCTTCTGAGTGCGACATGGATTTCGGCGAAGTCGCTCTCGGATGATTTTAATGTTCGCAGGCGTCCTCACAGAGCGTGGACGACCACTTCTTTGCCGATCATGTAAAGAACTTGTCTCCTGGTATCGTTTAATAGTGTAATACACGAAGTTACGGCTCACACCAAAACTTTTCAGTTCTCGGAAAATGTCCATAGGTTTTCTTCCCACCTTAAATAATGAAATGACAGTCGCACGTAATTCTTTTGTTCCCTCCATTACGAGAAAATTTAAATAAAATAATCCGAAATCATAGATATTAAAAGTTAACATTCCAAATTCAAAATTAGAAAAAGAAATATACAACAGCCAGTAATTTTTATTTTATTTTTATAAGCAAAAAGTTTGTCTCAAAACTTATGAACACACGAGGTAATGTAACACCTACTTTTCATCATTTGTGTTATGAGTCCCATGTAATAGAGGATAATCCTATTGCCATATACCGGACACAATTCCATACTGTAAGCTACTACTGAGATTTTTTTAAAAACCTAGTATAACTTTGCCGGACCCCGGAATAGAACCCGAGACCCCATGCCCGGCAGCCACATTTGCGACCACTGCGCCAACGACGCAGTCAAATATTACATTAAATAATTTAAAAAAACTGCTTTTGCAATAGATTTATTAATAACTATCCTGTTTAACTCTTTCAGTCTTGGTGGTCACTGTAACTAACCACCTTTTCTTAGAAATTCAATTTTTGAAGTATGCTTCAAATACTTTGCATTGGTTTTTAAGCATTTCAGTATAATTGAATAAAATATATTCGTAACCAGTTAAAAGTGTGACTGAAAGAGTTAATATGCAGGAAACATGTACTTAACATTATCTGTAGGTTTGCTTCGTGATCAAGTGGTTGCAAAGCGTGACTGTCGAGCAAGGTGTTTGAATTGAATTAATGAATCATACGTGTAATGTGGAATGAGCATTAGTACAGTGAATACCTAAAAGCATCTGAGGCCTTAGTATGAGTTTGTTTTACTGATTGATGATTACTGATTGGTTGGTTCATTGGCGCCGGCCAATCACAGCACCGAACGCGTACTCGGTACGATTACTTTAAACGAAAAGAAACTCGTACTAAGGCCTCAGAGTGTCGAACGTGTTCTCGTTTCGATTACTTCAACTCGTCGAGTACCGTCATTATAGACACAATTAGAGAACAATAGGTTGCGGTCACCGGTGACCGCTTGGTGTTTGACAGTTTAAACGTAAAAAAAACTCGTACTAAGGCATCTGAGGGCCTAGGACGAGTTTGTTTTATTAACGTTAAGCTAAACGTTACCGTGTTTAGCCCACTGATTGGTTAGGTCATTGGAGTAGTCAGAACGTCGAATGCGTTCCCGTTTCGATCACTTTAAACGTAAAACAAATGCATGTTAAGCTCTCTGGTTAATATTTTAAGAATAAAATTCCTTTTTTGTCTATATACGTATTTTTTTTTAAGGGGGAAAAATCATCGAATTACTGCTCCCGCCTAGGTGAGGCGGGAGGGAGTGTCAGACTCTTACTGACTAAATACCACCTCGTTCCTTCTCCTGCACGTCGAGCCGGAGCCCCGGTTACCCGTTAGGTTCTCCGCGACGTCTATATACGTACTTATAGACCATGAGTGTTGAAGAAAATAATAGAAAACTAAAAAGTATTAAAAACTTGTAAAAGAAATAAAAGAGACGAATCTTAAATCATTTAAAATTCATTACCTTTGTCGCGTCACTTTGTGAGTAATTATATTACATTTTAATTTTCACTCGCAATTTTTGCGATAAAACAATGTAAGTAGATGCGCTTCGGACGCGTCCTGAATAGTGAACGAAGCGAGTGCAAAGTAATTGAATCAAGGTAACCGACGACATTTCTCTCTAGACACTTTAATTTCACATTTTTTCTTAACTTTCCCCCTAATGGTGTAACTTTGTGCATTGCTGTGAAACACCCACGCTGTAATTTAATAAAAGATTGTCACTG